TTGTTCGGATTATGTCAATAACTCTTTACTGAACATTGTTTTTCATAGCATAAGCTGCTTTGTATTGCCTGAGAACATGCCTCACTTTTAACACAATCTCATCGCTTATTTTGACATTTCCCGCCTGTTTTGTAAATGGCAAAGTAAATGCTTCAAAAGTCTCTGCTCAAGTCGTAATAGCAATATTCGGTATATCCTGTTCTTTTGTGTCTATTCTTTGACTAAAACCCCTGTCTTTACTGTTCCTCTGAGATCTGGCAGTAAAAGAGACCATCTCAGTCTCTCTCTCTAGTGGCTGTGAGCTCTTATCCTTATATTGTGTTTTGGACAAAAGCAGCTGTAGTGTGAAATCTCTAGGAACGCAGATACAGTGCAGTGTAATGTAAGAAAGCCAAGGGAAAAGCGAGAAACATCCAAGGGAATGAGAGTGTTTGAATAGGAAATATTTCGCCACAGCATCAGATCTCTTGAATCTTATCTGAGACTCCAAATACGCATGTAAGGGTCATATCAGCTGGACGTTCCTCGCGCTAATTTTATCTGTGCCGTAAAATAAGAGAAGCACGGAGCATGCGGATCGAAAATAGAACGTAATGACTGAACGCAAGCCACTTATTAGACATATCATGTGCTTTATAATTCCCCAGAATCCTTTAAATCATGCTGTCATTATGAGTGTAATTGTGTTCTGTGGACCTTGACGACCCTGGAGTTTCCATAAATATAACAGTAATGTCACGGAAATCAATTCTCTCTTCTTCTATCGGCCGTTCTTCAAAGAGGAATCTTTCTATCAATACACTATCAGTTATGCAGAGAATAACATTGTTTCACATTAAGTCACGCATGATTGTTTTTGACAGGAAATATGCGTTTTAAGTGCTGTATTCGATCGCTAACTCGTGTTTGTGTGGCTTTGTGATTTGGGGTTTGTGATTTTTCTCCTCAGAGACTAGTGTCTGTTTTCTTCCCACCTCTCCTTTCCTTCCCTTCTTTTTAAAAGCTTTCCTTGAGGCACACAGCTGCCTTAGCATGAAAAGCAAAAAAAGTCAGATTACTGTACAAACAAGCGTAATTTGGACCGATTGATATGCATTTTTTCTGAAAATTATCCAATTTTGCGTTTTCCCTGATTAAACACAATCTAATTCAAATGATAAAATCAGCATGGCAATCTAAGTTAAAAGTTGAATTTGAAATAATGTGAATATCAGAGTATTAATAGCTAGTACTTCGCCCTTTTGCTTTAAAGGCGGCAGCACGAAATCCACAAGTGTACTGTAAGTGTGAAACCTGATGGTCATATTCACCTGAATGATTTGAGAAGTATCTTATGCTTCATGTGATTAATGTCACACGTTTAGCAACCAAGGAAAATAAGCTGAAATATGTGTATTAATTCTTTGTTTTATTTGTGGATTTGGATTTGAATCTCAGATGTCTGCAGCTCAGTGTTTTTGCAGGGTGGCATATGCGTATGAATAATAAGTCATTTACCCTTACCGTCATCAAATTAAAGATGATAATTTGTTGTTCTCATTCAGCGTAAATGTGAGTCGGATAACTTTTGTAAGTAAAGTCTGCCATGCAGTTCTGTGCTTGAGGGTAATTAAGGGAATAAATTAAAGTCTGCCATCTGTGTCAAAGCAACAAAGCTGTTAGTTTAGTTCGAATTATGCAGTTAATAAGTGCAGGCTGACATCTGTATGTTGAGTTCAGGATAAGAGCTGCCACTCAATTATATTTTTGTGTCTTGTTCACAATCCACACCACAGTCCAGTTTAACTGTGAGGTTTTCACTGTTGGTTTAACTTAAAAAAAAAATGAAGTAACCGGGCTACCTTAAAAATGTAAGTTCATTGAAATGGAAAAATTGAGTTAATACAATGAAGGTTGATTGATTTAATCATTAGAAACTTAAAATATTATGTTATCTGAACTACATAAATTATTTAAGTTGATATGACAAAAGAAATAATGATTCATTTTTAATGCATTATTTTGGAATCAAATTAAGTTAATGATACACAATATATTTATTTATTTTATTTATTTGGATCCATTAGCTTCCACAATGTGGTTGCTAGTCTTCCTGGGGCCCATAAGAGTACTGAAACTTATGTACAATTAAAATACACAAATATAACATACATAAATATAACATTCATATAAACATTACCACGTGTACACATTTATCTGCATATACACACTTATACAGCATTTGATAATATCAGTACATTTCAACAAATTAACTGATGAAATACTATTGATTGTATCTGTTTTAGAGTTATATATGTTTGCCTTGTTTTTGATTCATATATCATAATGGTTTTCAGATTTTACTGGATTTTTTTGGTGTCGGTAAATTAGTGTTAGGTTTTTTTTTTCATGCTCATTTCCTCCTCACTGTAAAAAATATTGTTGGTTTAACTTAAAAAAGTAAGTAACCTGGTTGCCTTAAAATTTTAAGTTCATTGAAATGGAAAAATTGAGTTAATACAATGAAGGAGATTGATTTAATAATCGGAAACTCAAAATATTATGTTATCTGAACTATATAAATTATTTAAGTTGATTTGACAAAAGAAAAAATGTTGTGATTACAAATCCTGAAATTTTTTTTTCATCAATTGTCTTTGCTATCACCTAAAGCTCATTCAAAGTTAAGTATTAAAAACTATTTTAAAACAATAATTTAATCACGCTGTTAAATGACCCAGCCTTTGTGATGATTTCAGGGGATTTCAGATGGTGGCAACTTACAAAATTATTGAAAATCATGCTTATATTTTAATCATTGCGAGCACAAGTTGTAAAGCTTAACTGATATCTCTCAATATACATTTATATCCAATTATTTCTCAGAATATCCATTTTGTCATTCTGTACATAATGTTGTAATGCCCAAATTCACTTGTAGCCTTTAAAACAGTTTTAGTTTTTTTTTTGGGACAAAATCGTTTAGAATTTTAATATGGAATGAATTATTAAAATCACTTAACCCGAGCTGCTGAGTCTTTAGCCATATTTATTCATCACTATTACTGTTCTCCTCATTTGTAAGTTGTTTTAAATAAAAGTGTCTGCTAAGTGATTAAATGTAAATGTATCATAGTGGCCAGAATTTGGTACATCACTGTCTATGGGTAACTGTAGTTGTTATATTTGTGCGGTGACTTCTCTTGTGTTCACCTGCACAGCAGTATCAGAGGAGTATTGGAATATTAAAGAGTCGTGCTGTGTGGGATAATTGTGTGAATGTGAAGTTCTCAGCATGGATTTGCTCTTTGACTCCGAGTAGTGACACGTTCACGTCCTCCACCTCTCACTACACCTCTTCAGCTCAGCCTGACTCCTCTGGTTATTGCTCTCAGGGTTGTTCATGCTTTCCAAGTGTACCCCCCTCACACCGATTAGTCCCTGCTGTGTGCGTGGTGTGTGTGTTTAGCTCATGGTGGGTAGCAGTGGGTGGGGTTTTATTTTCCAACACAGATTAGCAGCTGAGAAGGGGATTCCATCCTATTAAATTATTCATGCTCAAGAAATGATTACAGTGCATGAAACAGCATTGTGCATCAATAAAAGCTTTAGCCTAGATAGTATGTGTGTGTTCCTAATTCACTGGGTTCAAATTAGACATTGACCATAATATAAATTCAGTGAGAGAGACGGCTTATTCCAAATACTGTTCGCCATCTCTCATGGTGGAAAGACTGTGGATTGATATATTTAAAGGGATAGTTCACTTTGAAATACATTTTTGGTATGTTTTAGCTTACCTCAAGGGCATCCAAGATTTAGGTGTCTTTGTTTCCACAGTATTTTCAATTTTGATATTTTTAGGTCAAACCGTTCTTGTCTGTCAGTCATATAATGGAGGTCTATGGTCACCACCTCAAAGAGCATGCACAGAGAAGTCCAACTTAAACATGATTTAATAACTCGTAAATGTAAGTAAACATTGATGGCCTAAGACACGAAACGAGAGATCACTTCCGGGGCTTTCCGGCACGCTTGCGCAGACAGAAGCGCCCTCGCCCTCAGATCACTTGGACGTGGCTGTGATTACACGAGGTAAAAACAATATAAATACTGTTCGTTTTCTCACACATGTCTTAGGCCATCAATGTGTACTTACATTTATGAGTCATTAAATCATGTTTAATTTGGACTTCTCTCTGAATGCCCTTTGAGGTGGTGACCATAGGCCTCCATTATATGACTGACAGACACCAACGGTTTGACCTAAAAATATAAAAATTTAAAATACTGTGGAAACAAAGACACCTACATCTTGGATGCCCTTGAGGTAAGCTAAAACATGCCAAAAATTAATTTCAAAGCGAACTATCCCTTTAAGTTAAAGGGATAGTTCACCCAAAAAGGAAAATTGTGTCATCGTATTCTCACTTTTATCCAAACCTGTACGAGCTTCTTCTTTCTGCTGAACACAAAAGAAGATATTTTGAATAATGTTGGCTACCAGATATTTTTGTCCTACTATGGAAGTCAATGGGTGCCATCAACCGTCTAGTTACCAATATCTTCTTTCGTGTTCAGCAGAAAGAAGGAACTCATACAGGTTTTGAACAATTTGCGGGTGAGTAAACGATGACAGAATTTTCTACAATCCTTTAAGACACATTAAGTTGTCAGAGGTTTAAAAACATTGGTTATGCGAATGTTAAAGGAACATTCCATTTTGTAAACATTATGAGATTGTTACTTTTGAATGTTCTCTCGACATTCTGTAACAAGGAACATATTAGATCAAATATTAGACGAACATTTTCAAAAAGAACGGATGGATAATGTGTTCATGCTTATATTATGTTTATGGCTTTAATAATTTAAACTTAATCCTAAATACAATCTTCAAACCGCGTGCGGTCACCAGCCCAAGGTTGAGAGCCTGAAATTGGTTTGGAAGTGACATTTTCTGCCTCATTTCAGCTTTAAAACTGTAAAATGAACTTGTCTGTTTCTGGTTTTCCCTACAGGTGTCACAAGGTGAACTCAGCGTAGTGTGAGCGTGCGCCCTGAGAGGGTGATCGGTTTTGTCCATGGCGACGCAGGGCCTGGCGTCCCGGCTCCTGGTGGTGTTGGCTGTGTTAGCCGTGGCTCATGCCTCCGTCTTCCTGTCCAATCAGAGACAGAAACCACGGTTCCAGCGAGACCGCCGCAATATCCGCCCTAACATCATCCTCATCCTCACCGATGACCAGGACATTGAATTGGGTGAGTGGAAAAACAATATTCAGATTCCTTTAGGATAATTTATGACAAACCTCCACAAGAACTTTCCTAAAAGTGGCTATCACCAGACCAAGCTCAGTCTTTTAAGATTGGACATTGGTCTGGGGAGTGTATTTTCTACTGCACAAGAGGCGTGATCAACGGGCGTAGTTCAAATGACTCTGTACGCAATTGGACAGTCCTTCAACCAATCAGACCAACGATCCGGGTGACGTACTTTGCAGTGAAAACTCCAGGCAGGAAATGTGTCAAACGTGTTGGTTTAGAGCATTGATCAGCGGTTTGCAGAATCAGCAATGGCATCGAGCGTTAATTGCAGGTTGTGCAAAAAAACAACAACAAAAAAACATGAAACTGTGTGTATTTACACCCTCTCGAGCGATTTGTTTGAAGTGAGGTTAAAGGAGTAGTTCACTTTTAAAAACTTTTGCTGATAATTTACTCACCCCCATGTCATCCAAGATGTTCATGTCTTTCTTTCTTCAGTGGAAAAGAAATTAAGGTTTTTGATGAAAACATTCCAGGATTTTCTCCATATAATGGACTTCATTGGGAACCAAACAGTTCAAGGTCCAAATGAGAGTTTCAGTGCAGCTTTAAAGGGCTTTAAACGACAGCAGACGATGAATAAGGGTCTTATCTAGGACCTTTCGAGTCATGACTCGAAAAAAGATTCGTTCATTTTGATGAACGAGTTCGAACAGGAGAGTCACGAACGCTCATCACAGAACAGAACAAGGCGACCATTTGTGCTTATAAAACTTAAACTTTGTTTATTTATTAAATGAGCGATTGTTTCACTTGATAAGACTCTTATTCATCGTCTGGAGTCGTTTAAAGCCGTTTGAAGCTGCACTGAAACTCTCATTTGGACCTTGAACCATTTGGTTCCCAATGAAGTCCATTATATGGAGGAAATCCTGGAATGTTTTCATCTCAAACCTTAATTTCTTTTCGACTGAAGAAAGAATGACATGACAAAGAATGAAGTATATTTTTAAGTATACATTAAGTATACTAATGTCACTATGTACTAGTAGTAAACTTGTAAGTGTACTATTTTAATACCGCTTGGGACTAAATTGGCCCACTTTTAGTACATAAAAGTATATGTTTAAGTGTACTATAAGTGTAACAGTAAGTGCACAACTAGTTCATAATTATGTATCACATGTGTACTGCAAGTGAATTTATGGGTATACAAGTAGTTTTCTTTTTTACTGTAATACTTATACAAGTATACTTTGTATACTTCATTATACTTTTAAGAATTTCTGGATCAAAAGATTGAGTACAAGAACAGGACAAATATACTTGCTTTTCTCTCAGTATAAGTCAAGTACACTTAAGTGTAATTTGAAGTATATTTCTGAGAAGTACATATAGTATACTTCTGAGAAGTACAGGAAAAATAAACTGAAAGTATACTTTCTTATTTTTAGTTTAAAAGAAGTATACTAATGGCACACTTGAATAAACTTCTTTTTCGTAAGAAAACAGTTAGTTTAACATTGAAATAATATTTGGTTTTACTGTATTTTTAATGGTGAGACTTATTTCAAAAACATTAAAAACAACCTTTTTAACGATATTGTATTTCTACTCCTTTAGGTTTTTAATTCAATGCATGTTAACCAGTGTAATGTGACCTAACTGCTGGTGAAAGAAAACAAAATCAATGGCACACACATTCATCTGAGTATGTGAGAGTTCATTTATTTTTATACTTTTTACAAGATTTTTTACAAGAAGCTGTCTCTCTGTGATCAAAAAGAGACATTTTTGGCTTCGTCAAAGCGGAAGACAGTGATTCAATTAAGAAGGAAAGTCCCATGCATTTTTACAACATCACTTAGTATGATTTATAAGCTGTTTTCCTCTTGAGGACCAAAAAATGTCCTGACAAGAACAAGGATTTATAATATTGCCAGCTTTGTGGGGACATTTTTTCCCCTATAAGTTATAACTCAACCACACTGACACACACTTGTGTTATCTGTAAAAATGAGAGATGAGATGACAGACCATATGACAACACACTTTTCCTGCGTGAACTCTGATTTGTGTTGTCCATCCATACTGACATTTGCCTGTAAAGTTCACAGAGGATTTTTGCCGCTTGTGTGTTTGTACTATATATGTGCTGACCTTTCTGCATGAGTCTGTAGAGGTGTGGAGATCCTGTCTGAAAAGGTCAAACTGAACTAGACTTCCTGTCTCCGATTATCAATTGAGCCAATCAAGGTGTAGGTTGTTTACTTAGCTATACTTTGTTCCCAGACATTATTTATATTGTCCATTAATCCATTAATTAAAAAAATATATAATTGTATTTTTTACTGTAAATTTTCAAAAATCCAAATGATGACCAATCGCCTCAACTTAATGATATTTGATGAAAAATATTGTAAAAACAGCAATAATATGTCATAAATTTTATTTAAACAAGAGAAAGTCAAATAAATGCTGAGTAGGAGCAGAAACAAATGTGTTTATTCTGTAGCTTTTAATAAATATTGTGTGACTTGAATATAAAGCTTGGATCATATATCTCTAAACATACACATTCACGCACCCACTCACACACTGGTGTCATATGATTTCCCATGTTGCAAACAATCAATACATTTCCTCTTAGAGGCTGGAATGTCACAGAGAATTAATGAAAGAACTGATATCTTTATCCTGTCGATGTCATGGTGTTTTGTAGAGGAAGAGAAAGAGAAGAAGCCAGTTGTTTTTGAAGTAGGGCAGTTAGCAGAGCTATGTCACCTTAAGTAGTATTTTATAGATCCTCTCTCTCTCTCTCTCTCTCTCTCTCTCTCTCTCATCCAGGCTCCATGCAGGTCATGAATAAGACCCGGCGGATCATGGAACAAGGTGGAACGCACTTCACCAACGCGTTTGTCACCACACCCATGTGCTGTCCGTCACGCTCCTCCATGCTGACGGGGAAGTACGCCCACAACCACAACACTTACACCAACAACGAGAACTGCTCTTCACCCTCCTGGCAGGCTCAACATGAGCCGCGCACTTTTGGAGTTTACCTCAACAACACTGGCTACAGGACAGGTGGAGACCATACAAAACACACAATAAAATAATTCATTGGTTAAATTGTCATGTTATTATCATATGTTATTATAAAGTAAAATACAGTGGTGTGGAGTGCAGTATAGCAGAGGAATATATGACATGGTAATATAGAGAAAAGCATACAGCATAGTGCATAGTATTTTAATAGAGTTAGGTGTAAATGTAGAGGTATTGTCTCATGAAGCAGGGTAGCATACAGTTTAGTAATGTTTGAATGTTATTTCCACATGACAAAGTATAGCATAGAGTAGTGTAGAGTAGAGTGAAGTGGACTAGAGTGGCATAGAGGTGAATAGACTAAAACAGTGTAGACTAGAGTGGAATATAGCAGAAAAAAAATTGGTAGACTGAAGTAAAGGGAGAGTGGACTAGAGATTAATAGAATAATGCAGAATAGATTAAAATTGAGTGGCACATATGGAAGTAAAGTAGAACTGAGTTAAGTAGACAATATTGAAGTAAAGTAGAAGATAGCCTGAAGATAAGGTGGAATATAGATTATGTTAAAGTAGAGTTGCATAGAATGAAGTGGTGTTGAATAGTTAGGTAGACTAGAATAAAGTAAAGGAGAATATAGCCTAGAGATAAGTTGAATAATGTAGACTAGATTAAAGTAGAATAGCATAGAATGAAGTAGAGTAGAGTAGAATGGAGTTGAGAAGAGTAGACTAAAGTTGAGGAGATTGGTCTAGATGAGTAGAATAATGTAGACTTGATTAAAGTAGATTAGCATAGAATGGAGTAGAGTAGAGTAGAGTAGACTGGAGTTGAGAAGAGTAGACTTAAGTAGAGTAGATTGGTCTAGAGATGAGTAGAATAATGTAGACTTGATTAAAGTAGAATAGCATAGAATGGAGTTGAGTAGAGTAGACTAAAGTAGAGGAGATTGGTCTAGATGAGTAGAATAATGTAGACTTGATTAAAGTAGATTTGCATAGAATGGAGTAGAGTAGAGTAGAGTAGAGTAGACTGGAGTTGAGAAGAGTAGACTTAAGTAGAGGAGATTGGTCTAGAGATGAGTAGAATAATGTAGACTTGATTAAAGTAGAATAGCATAGAATGGAGTTGAGTAGAGTAGACTAAAGTAGAGGTGACTGTTCTAGAGATGAGTAGAATAAAGTAGACTTGATTAAAGTAGAGTGGTATGGGCTGCAGTAGAGTAGAATAGAGTTGAGAAGAGTAGACTTAAGTAGAGGAGATTGGTCTGTAGACTTTATTAAAGTAGAATAGCATAGAATGGAGTTGAGTAGACTAGACTAAAGTAGAGGCGATTGGTCTAGAGATGAGTAGAATAGCATAGAATGGAGTTGAGTAGACTAGACTAAAGTAGAGGCGATTGGTCTAGAGATGAGTAGAATAGCATAGAATGGAGTAGAGTAGAATGGAGTTGAGAAGAGTAGACTTATGTAGAGGCGATTGGTCTAGAGATGAGTAGAATAGCATAGAATGGAGTAGAGTAGAATGGAGTCGAGTAGAGTAGACTAAAGTTGAGGCGTTTGGTCTAGAGATGAGTAGAATAATGTAGACTTGATTAGAGTGGCATAGGCTGAAGTAGAATAGAGTTGAGTACAGTAGACTAAGGCGATTGGCTTAGAGATGAGTAGAATAATGTAAACTAGATTACAGTTTGAGTAGCTTAGACATTGATCAGCAGTGTCTTTAAGATCACTGTATCATATTTTTATACCCTTTGATGATTTCCATCTGAAAACATCTAAAACAAACACCAAAGCAGAGTGGCGCATAATCTTTTCCTAACAATAACAGCCTGACATGAATGTAAAATTAATTTGATAGATTGAGCTCTCATTCATCTGTGAGCTGTTTCATCAGAGTTATCTGTTGGGCTTTTCACACACTTTCACCAGAGATTCAGTGTGACAGGCACCCAGCTCTCTCTCTCTCTCTCTCTCTCTCTCTCTCTCTCTCTCACACACACACACACACACACACACACACACATACACACAAACACGCTCTCACAAGCTCTTGCACGAACATTGGCATAATCTGTCTTTAACAGATGATTTTCATTAAACAATTCCTTTGGGCTGTTATAGCTGTGTGTGTGTGTGTGTGTGTGTGTGATATGATCTGTTTGTGAGACAGATATTATCCACAACTACTATGTGCATGTAAACATAGAATCACCAGCTGTGAATGGTATGCCTGTACACACACACACACACACACACACACACACACACACACACACCTGGCAGCAAGTCAGGCTTTTAGTGGTAACAGTAATCCATTAGAGCACACTTCCTCTTGGAGAGAGACCTGCTCTGACCAGCATCCCCTCTAATGTAACATTTCCAACTCCCTGTCCTCAATTTATCTACATGCCTAATGTATTTTAAATGTGCAATGTATTTTCAGTATTAAAAGTTTTTCTTTTCTATTCTATTCTTAATTCTACTCTGTTGTCCCCACCTCTTCTCAGCCATACTTTACTATATTCTGTTCTTCTCTACTAAACTATACCATACACTATTCTACTGTTATACTCTTCGAACCATACTCCACTGTGCTTTGCTATGCTTTACTTTGTTTTACTCTACTCAACTCAACTATATTTCACTCTACTCTGTTTGATTCTATCCTGTTCTACAATATTGAATTATATTCTACCATACTCAACTATACATTCTACTTGTACTCTACTGAACTGTACCATATGCTATTTTACTCTTTACTCTATTCTATTCTCCTTTACTCTGTTCTACTCTACTGAATTTTTCTCTACTGTGCTCTGTTCTGCTCTACTCAACTGTACCATATGCGTTTCTACTCTTCTGTTTTGCTTTACTATATTTTACTCTTCTCTGTTCTACTCTACTCAATTCTGTTTTGCTTTGCTCTGTTATTGTATGATCTGCTGTCTTCTACACTCTACACTATTCTACTCTACCATTCTCTGCTCTTCTCTGTTTTTCACTATTCTGTTCTACTTTACTCTGTTGAATTATTCTACTCTATTATGTTCTACTATAGTAACTCTATGTATACTCTACTGTGCTCTCAACTGTACTATATGCGTTTCTACTCTTCTGTTTTACTATACCATACTATTTTACTTTATTCTGTTCTACTCTACTCAACTTTATTCTGCTTTTCTGTATTTACTCTGCTGTGTCATACTCTACTGCACTCTGCTCTCTTCTGGTTTACTCTATTCTACTCTAGTGTACTCAGCACTATTCTATTCTATTCTGCTCTACTCTTTCTTGTCTGTATTCTCTGTTCTAACCTACTCTACAGTACTCTTTTCTGTTCTGAAATGATAAGCATGCTCTCTTGTGTTTGTGTTTTCCCAGCATTCTTTGGGAAGTATCTGAACGAGTACAACGGTACGTACATTCCTCCGGGCTGGAGGGAGTGGGTCGCCATGGTGAAGAATTCCCGCTTCTACAACTACACCCTGTGCAGGAATGGTGTCCGGGAGAAACACGGATCTGACTACGCAAAGGTCTGTGTGCAAGGTGCTCAATGATGTGGAACCCTGTCTTTTCTTACTGCATCTCCTCTATTCATTTCTTTCCACGTTTTCATCCATTCTTAACCAGTTTGATTGATAGTCTTGTTATTCTGATTTATAACAAAGTCAGACCTTTCCCTGTCTGTCTCTCTCACTCTTTCTCTCATTGGTTCTCCCTCAAATGTTGGTCTCTTTTGTCAGCATTCATCAGTCTCTCCTCCTTTTTTCTTTTTTTTAACCATTCATTGCAGTGACTGACATTCAAGCTCCCTGGCAACAGAAAAGTTTGCTTATGGGTGGGCTATATGTGTGTGTATTTTAAGCTTTTGACTAACTGATGCTAAAATGTTTTAAATCACTAGATTAACGATCAGATCTCTGTATCTCTTGTAGGACTACCTGACAGATCTCATAACCAATGACAGCATCAGTTATTTCCGCATGTCAAAGAAGATCTACCCACACCGACCCGTCCTGATGGTGATCAGTCACTCGGCCCCTCATGGCCCCGAGGACGCGGCTCCTCAGTACACCACTGCCTTCCCCAATGCATCCCAGCACATGTGAGTCCAAAACGCTATTGCAGGGATGTCCTACAGAGTTTAGCTCCAGCTTGTTTCAACACACCTGCCTTGAAGCTTATTCAGAGATGGTCTTATCATTGAGAGATATGAGGTTCCATGGCTCTACCATTGGAGAAAGCGTAACGGCTATATTGGATCACGTGTGCCTTGATAACCAATCATTAGGGGTGTAACGGTTTATATATTCGTATTCGTTCATTATGAGGCTTTCAGTTAATTTTTTTACGCATTTTTGAACCGAACGGTTCGTTGGACCATTTTTCCTGCCGACCAAAATTTCGATATTTTAAATGTAGGTGCGTCGTGCGTGGCAAGCGCGCTCATAATGTAAGAGATGCTGGCGTGACCACAACATTGCCCAACATCAAATGGTAAATGTAATGTAAGCGGAACGAAACTGAGCTGCTCGTTATTGTGTGGTTGACGGACCGTTTATCGTCAGGTTTTAGCAGGAGCAGGAATGGACACCACTGATCTATTGCATATCATCTATTTTAAAAAGGTCTGAAGAATTTAAGCATGAACTCCACCCGCTAAAACCTGACGATCATGTTCTCCAGCATGATTTGGGATGATCCAAAAACCAGTTTTTTGATTATTAACCTAAACATGAATGTAGGATCATAGATATCATACAAACTTTGGGGGAAAAACATGTAAAATGTCAGTGGTAGCTGAGATGAATGAGAAGAGAGCAGAGAATCAGCTTAAAACTCATGGATAATGGAAATCTCATCCCACATTTCTCTATTTCTGTCACTCAAGTGCTACTGAATAGAGTTGTTATAATGGAAACAGTCCTCTTTGGTTCATAGTAATGTAGCCACACACACACACACACACACACGTGTTTTTTTTCTCTCCTGCTCTCCTGCTAATTCCCCACCAGCTGCTATCAGACATTTTTTTCAATGTCTCTTTCTTTCCCTTCGTTCATCTCATCTCTCCACTTCTGTCCCTCCAGCAGATAAATCCTCCTGTCTCTGTCTATGCTTTTCCCAAGGTCTGTAATCCCCCTGCTTGAGAGGCACTGCCATTCTTCACACACATGCTGAATACATACATGATGAGGAAAAGAATATTTGTGCACACTCACATAGTCTCGGTTAAATCCTGTCTACACGTGATGTTGTTGTTTTTAGGTGGCTGCATTTCCTAAACCTCTTTAACCCCACTCTCACTCTGTGTGTATACCGAGTAATCTCAAAATCTCATTTTATAGTGCTCAATGTGTATTGTTTTAACCGCTAATCTCATAAATTCAGCCTCTGTACACAAGAAATCTCTGACCATGGGCTGAGTTAAACATTAAATTTAAGATAAATTATATTTTTGCGTATTTTTTTTTAAATGAATGCATCCAGTATCTGTGTGTTTGCGCGCTGATTGAGTGAATGTGTTCGGTGTAATTTCGGTGCCGCTAGCCTAAAAAAACCCCAGCAAAATTACAAAAATAATACTGAATTTTTCCGAACACTAAACTGGTAAAAAAAAAAAGAGGTGGGTAAAATATAAATTCTGGTAAAAAAAAAAAAAACAACTATAAATCCTGGTGGACCACAACGTGGTCACTAGATAAGGTGGGCCACTGCCTACCGGTGTATGTCTATCTCCTGATGACATTGCTATATAGGGAGGGCTCGACATTAAGCCTTTTCATACGCTTGTCCTTCGGACAAGTAAATCTGTCATTCACTTGTCAGAGTAAAAAAGTTGCTCATCCTAATTTTTTATTTTTATTAATTTGTTTTGAAACAATATTCTCATCAGTGTTCAATCAGCTTTGATATTTAAATCACCATAATGTAATATCTGCACCTTTAAAGGGCATCTACTCCCCCAATATTATTAAATCTATGCTTCATCTTCCATTTTAAATTCCTAAATTTGATCAATAAATTCAATTACTTTCGAGTCAAGTGGCGTGTTATCTCTACGCATTTTGAGCTATCCGCGTTTATGCGTGTATGTCTACACCATTAATGTCCGAGTGATTCCGCGTGTCTGTACACACTGTCAAAAGTCCGCGCGAAACGAAGCAAAATGTAGATCTACATCTGGCGAGCGATCTTTTTTTTTCCTAGGATGGTAGGGGAACAGTCATAAATGCCATTAACCCCAGTGACGGGTAGGTTTAGGGACGGGGTTGAGGTAAGTCATATATTTATATATACAGTAATAACGTTAAGTCAACGGCGTTCATAAACACGCTGAAAAGCGATTATACGTGTTGATAGCACGCATCGCCAAAAATGGAAATACGAATTGCGTGCCATACACACGCTACTTCATGAGATCAGTCTGGAAGAAGAGAGTTTATGCTAATATCTGGCGTAGCTCCTCTAATGCTATGTTCACACTGGACGCGAATAGCGCGTCAGGCGCAAATGATTTCAATGTAAAGTCAATGCAAAGATGCGCTACACGCGTAAAAATTCCTGCGGTGCGAATAAGGCGTAGAGCGTGGTGCTGTAGACGTGAATACGCCTCATTTGCACGTCAAGTTCGCGCGAATAGAGTGTCTGGCGCGATAAGCGTGAATGATGTAGTTACTGTGTGTGTCCACTACAGCGGCAAAACTCCGCTCAGTGCCAATGGCAACGCTATAACGTCTCCGCTTTGGGGTATGTCTGTTGTGTTTTCAACTTATAAACACAGTATAATCATCAGAGATGCACGCAATTACATTCGGAAATAGACAAGCTTTGTTTGCATAAATTCCCTTAAGCAAAGATATCCCATAAATTTTATGAACTTTTATAAACCCAGCCAGTATAATCCCAATGAACTCAAAAATGAATTATTTAACATATAACATATAACTGCAAAGCGTCTAATCTGTAAACAAAATTATTTACGCATGAAATCCAGCATAAACTCGGGCACAATTTGCATATTTTTAAAATCTCAAAACAGACGTCACATCCCAAACCACACATCAATTGGCTGCCGACCGCATTTTTCGCTTGATATTTGCATAAAGTCGAGAACTGCCCAACCTTTTGACGCTCTCAACGCTTTCACCGGTCTGCTGTTCTAGCTCTCCCGAGCAAATACATTGCGGTGAATCTCTCGATGAATGCTCAATCAACATAAAAAAAGATGGCCGCCAACGGGTTTCGATTCTGACGTAAAATCGAAAGTTTGAAGCGAAATTTACCCGCGTCAGAATCGAAACCCGTTGGCCAGTTTCACTCTTGACATGTGAATTAACACAAAGTGGTCAAGCGTCAAACTAGACGCGGTAGACGCGAATTTGATGCGCTATTCACATCCGGTGTGAACATAGCATTATGGCAACTCCACTTACACATTCTTACATTGCACTATAAATTGCACACTGACACATTTCATACACATAAAACAAAACATAAAACAAGCTTAAACGTTTCTGTACTTGTGTACTATCTATTACGTGTCATAGACACACCCTACAGCACAAGCATAGATGTATTATCTAGTTAACGCACCACAAATGAGCAAACAAAAGGCCTGTTATGTACTAAATCTCTCTCTCTGTCTCTCTCTCTGTCTCTCTCTCTCAGATTCGATTTGCTTTCAGGACATTGTGTCTCTAAGCACAAAACCACACAACTATGAGCTCCCATTTCTCTCGCCAATAAAAAAAAAGGAGAGAGAGAGAGGAAAAGAGAGCAAAGAGATACTGTCAATGAATATTACCCATCTTTCCTGAAATATTGAGGCGTCAGGAATGAAATCAGACATTAAAGGGACAGAATGTCCCCAAATGTGCATATTCACTTTCTCATACAGCCTGATAAAAACCCCTGATGAAAACAAAAACAGATGAATATTTTTTTTCATTAGTAGATGGGAAGCTCTTCAAATAAACGTGTGTGTGTGTGTGTGTGTGTGTGATAAGGTTTTGGAGGCTTTTATAGTTTAACAGGCCTTTCATTCACCACCGGAGTAGATAAAAACCAAAGATGCAAACCTGCCCACTTTATGACTCAAATAAAATCTCCATCACCCTTTCAAAGTGACTGCTCAAGGCAGACACTTTTATTATTTTTCTGATGTCATCTCACTTTCACCATTAAAAACAAACAGCCTTGCTCCTGTTTTTCCGATCCAGTCTCTTCTGCACACAATTCTCCGTAAAAGCATGTTTTATGATTCATATACACGTGTATTTCATATTGTACATACATTGCAATGAATCATGCCTTATTTTTCACTCCATAGCCATAATAGATGTCTGCGCTCCACACACGTATTCATATGCATGTATACTTCTCCGGCTGTCAGGGGGGGGGATGCCCTAGAATTCCTCTATCCTCTTTTAATTTTCCATGAAGTGCAGGGAGCGCTCTTATTCTCTCCATTCAGTCCTCTGCAAACCACCCGCCACTGTCCACAATGGCCTCTCGCTAGTCCTGTACTTCTCTGCTCCTTGCCCTCGTACAGTGCTGTATGTGATTAACCCCTTGCTGCCCCTCGGACTGGCACAAGGCCACTGGAGACATATTGTCCAAATCCTTCCAGATAGCCCGAGAGTATTATTCAGTGGGAAAATCCCCGTGTTCTCATCGCCGCGTGAGCCCGCTGCACCTGTTTCAACTCCAACACTCCTGAGATGGAGGGAATAATGAAAATATGATCGGAAAAGAACAAGAGAGGGAGAGACAGAATGTTTGGAGAGGATTAAAAGGATTATGTGTAGAACAATAAAGAAGATAAAACCAGAGAGAGAACGAAAATGCCGTTTACTAGGCAGCTGCCTTACGAGGCAGTGGTGTAACCGCGATGGAATGTGATGTGACTTATTTGTAACACTCGATATAGGCAGCAACGCGCCACACAAGCAGCATTCCTCACGTCACACACACACAGACTCAGTTTACTCAATTCAACTTGAGTTTACATTAGCATGTTGCTAAGCTAACGCTTTAGTCTAATAAATGTAGAACACACACACACAAATAATATTGGGTAAAATAGTGTGTTGTTAATCAGGTTAGAACTTTTTTTTTCTCAAAATAATTCTGTATTAAAATATTTATTACCTACTTTTCTGTTCACTCCGTTTACAGGTAATTCCACTTGAGTTTGATGTTAGCATGTTGCTAAGCTAATTCCCTGATTAGTCTAATAAACCTAAATACAGAGCACACACCAATATTGAGTGAAATAGTGTGTTGTGAATCAGATAAGAGCCATTTTTACTCAAAATAATTCTGTGTTAAAATATTTATTATCAACTTTCCTGTTCACTCTGTTTGCAGGTTATTCCACTTGAGTTTGATAGCTAATAAACCTAAATACAGAGCACACACCGATATTGAGTGAAATTATGTGTTGTGAATCAGATTAGAGCTATTTCTACTCAAAATAATTCTGTATTAAAATTTTTATAATAAACTTTTCTGCTCACTCCGTTTACAATTCCACTTGAGTTTGATGTTAGCATGATGCTAAGCTAATTCCCTGTTTAGTCTAATAAACATAAATACAGAACACACACCAATATTGAGTGAAATAGTGTGTTGTGAATCAGATTAGAGCTATTTTTACTCAAAATAATTCTGTGTTAAAATATTTATTATCAACTTTCCTGTTCACTCTGTTTGCAGGTTATTCCACTTGAGTTTGATAGCTAATAAACCTAAATACAGAGCACACACCGATATTGAGTGAAATTATGTGTTGTGAATCAGATTAGAGCTATTTCTACTCAAAATAATTCTGTATTAAAATTTTTATAATAAACTTTTCTGCTCACTCCGTTTACAATTCCACTTGAGTTTGATGTTAGCATGATGCTAAGCTAATTCCCTGTTTAGTCTAATAAACCTAAATACAGAGCACACACCAATATTGAGTGAAATAGTGTGTTGTGAATCAGATAAGAGCCATTTTTACTCAAAATAATTCTGTGTTAAAATATTTATTATCAACTTTCCTGTTCACTCTGTTTGCAGGTTATTCCACTTGAGTTTGATAGCTAATAAACCTAAATACAGAGCACACACCGATATTGAGTGAAATTATGTGTTGTGAATCAGATTAGAGCTATTTCTACTCAAAATAATTCTGTATTAAAATATTTATAATAAACTTTTCTGTTCACTCCGTTTACAGGCAATTGCACTTGAATTTGACGTTAGTATGATGCTAAGCTAATTCCCCGATTAGTCTAATAAACCTAAATACAGAGCACACACCAATATTGAGTGAAATAGTGTGTTGTGAATCAGATTAGAACTATTTTTTTCTCAAAATAATTCTGTATTAAAATATGTATAATAAACTTTTCTGTTCACTCCGTTTACAATTCCACTTGAGTTTGATGTTAGCATGATGCTAAGCTAATTCCCAGATTAGTTTAATGAACCTAAATACAGAGGACACACCAATATTGAGTGAAATAGTGTGTTGTGAATCAGATTAGAGCTATTTTTTTCTCAAAATAATTCTGTATTAAAATATTTATAATAAACTTTTCTGCTCACTCCGTTTACAATTCCACTTGAGTTTGATGTTAGCATGATGTTAAGCTAATTCCCCGATTAGTCTAATAAACCTAAATACAGAGCACACACCAATATTGAGTGAAATAGTGTGTTGTGAATCAGATTAGAACTATTTTTTACTCAAAATGAGCTGCAAATTTAACCCATGTATTTCTGTATAAACCACTTTCTCACAACATGTCCCACAGTGATTATGTATTGGGTAAAAATGGTGTTTATTGGCATTTCGTGTGCATTCGACCACTTGAACGTCTACCCTAGGAAAGCAATCCGGTCTCATGCGTTTTCAACTACTTTTAGAGTAGCTCAAAACATTTAGACCCTATTTACACTTGTAATTAGTATCTTCAGCTTGTGATCGGGTCGACGATAACGCATCTTAATGCTAGGTGTAAACAGGGCCAGAGTGACACTGAATGAAGGATCATGTTTGTGAGTGAAATTAATGAAATGGGAGGTCACAAAATGGAGGATAAACTATATATCACTATAACAAGATGTAACAAGGGGCAATGAGCGAATCAGTGAACAGTGTATGAATATTTTCAGTAAATTGATTGAAATCACTGATGAATTAAAATCCCTAACACTACTCTATTAGTAGTGAAATATTCATTAAAATGTCATGTTTTGTTACCTTAAAATGTTAAAAGCACATTTAGAGCAACAGTACTGTACAAGTGCAGCACACATCTATTCCAGTACGGACCCAGAAATACACAGATACACCAACGAGAGAGAGAGAGAGAGTTACATCCCTTGTTGTCACTAAGTTGTTTATCAGTTTAAATATACGACAGCCACAAAGCAAGGCCAGGCAGAAAGCAGATCCGCATGATGATGCTCACATTGATTTGTCTGTAGATGGCTTTAAGTAAAGGCTGTTAAACAATAGAGCTGGGGGCTTTTAATCACAACCGTAAAGGCTTTGAGTGTAAGTGCTGTTTGTTTCTAATAGGCCTCAAACTCACGCCTGGCACAGGAGCGAGGAGGAGGAGCTACAAACACTTCTTGCTCTTTTTGTTCCTCAATAATGCTTGAACAACCATTACATTTACAGAGTGTCAGTCTGTCAGTCAGAGCCTAAGAAACCGTGAGACTGTAAAATTGCAATGTGTCATTTTCGAGGAGACGGGTGAGAGAGAGCAAACGTTCGATTGCTGTCGATTTACATTTGATTTGTAATTCTGACCATGCAAACACACACACAGACACATCATCCCAGCTGTCAAAATCTGTCTGTGTGCTTTCCTCCAACATCAGCAGAACGCAGTCGACAAACAGTGTCTGCTCTGAAGACTCTCGATTTCTCTCAGTCATGCTCCAGCAGGTCCACTGACTGCCACTCTTTTCTTCTCCTTTCAGAACGCCCAGTTATAATTACGCCCCTAATCCAGACAAACACTGGATTATGCGTTACACCGGCTCCATGAAGCCCATTCACATGGAGTTCACCAACATGCTGCAGCGCAAGAGATTGCAAACGCTGCTGTCCGTGGACGATAGTGTGGAGAAGGTACATCATGTAACATTTATGAAGCCCTAAAATATATGAGCATTTTGAGAATGGGAACAAATTTCATTCCTTGGGGAAAATAATGGCAGTACCTTTGTACATTTATGATATCAGATTGCATGGTAGTTTTCTGGATAACATGTATCGAATAATTATAATATTCTAAAATAAAAATTTAACATTATGGTAGTGTTATTTTAGTATGCTTTATATTATATTATGCTGTTTGTTAATGTTTAGCAGTTTTTTCAATGTTAAGTTTAGATTTAATGTTGATTTTACTTTAAGTTTAAGTATTTTTATGTTTTGTATTTTTACTGTATTTTTTACATACATTTATTTCAACATTTTAAATAATTTTTAATTGTTTTACTTTTAGTTAACCCAAATTAGAATTGTGCATTTCACAAAACAATATTTAAAAAATCTTTTTTTTAAATGTACAGTTTTCCCAGAAAAAAATAAATAAATAATATATATATATATATATATATATATATATATATATATATATTTTTTCCCTGGGAAACTGTAAATTAAAAAAAAACCTTTTTTAAATATTGTTTTGTGAAATGCACCAGTAATAATATTATGGCATAATATTATGCACGTAAAAAAAAAAAAAAAAAAAATATTTAAAAAGGTTTTTTTACATTTACAGTTTTCCCAGGGAAAAAAAAAAAAAAAAAACTGTAAATTTAAAAAAACCCTTTTTTAAATATTGTTTTTTTTTGTTTTGTTTTGTTTTTTACGTGCATAATATTATGCCATAATATTACTGGTGCATTTCACAAAACAATATTTAAAAAAGTTTTTTTTTTAATTTCAAAAACCCTTTTTTAAATATTGTTTTTTGTTTGTTTGTTTGTTTTTGTTTTTTTGCATGTATAATATTCAAATTCTGAATGTTTTGTCTCGCATTCCTACAAATTTTGCAACCCTACAACGATCTATAATTTATTCTTACCACTGTCATGTTTCTTTTGTTTGAATATAGATATATAACATGTTGGTGGACACTGGGGAGCTGGACAACACGTATGTAATCTACACGGCTGACCACGGGTACCACATCGGTCAGTTCGGACTGGTCAAGGGGAAATCCATGCCGTACGAGTTTGACATCAGAGTTCCCTTTTACATCCGCGGCCCAAATGTGGAGGCAGGAGGCATGTAAGTGATTGAGTTATGTATGTGATGGTCCTGACCAAGAGAGCAGAGCCTGCGGTTTCACCAAGTGCGACGTGTTCCTGGATCTACATCTTTGTTGATCATGAAACAAAATTCCAATGATCAGATTTTTAGGGACAAGTTTACAGTTTATGTCAAGTTTAGGCTTACATTCAGGGTTAGATGCTTCTACATCAGTGTTATTCACCTATCATTTCCCTCTGATTGAAGTTAGGGTAGGGGTATGTTTAGGGTAGGGGTAGGCTAAGACTACATTTTCGGACAAGGATCAAAACATGCTGACCCAGAAACGCATATAACATCCAAGAGTCATGCTAAATAGATTTCTCACAAAAAATGTGTCAAACAAATATATTAGACAACGAAGGGGTGTGCATAAGTTGGTTTTGACATTGGCTGTCATGAGGCATTATAACTGTATCGTGAATATTTTTCGTGACCTCAACTACAGTGGTACTAATTGAATTTGTCATTAAAAAGTTATAATGGCTTCATGACAGCCAATGTCAAAACCAACCAGCTGAAAGTTTAATGTAATGTTAACCAATAAAGCTAGGTGGTTTCTTAAGTGTGATAATTAATCTGCTAATGTCCTAATGTCATATTTGCATTAAACATGTCATAACTGAGCAAATACTTAATGACAGTTGTCACAAACATGCATAAAACTTCCTTCATATTCATAACATATGTCATGATTATGAAGGTGTCACCCCTTCAAGTAAAGTGTTACCCATTTTTCTAGTGTTGCTGAAAGCTTTGCATAGACTTTAGCTTGGTCTTAAAGCTTTTTACACGGTTGGCTTATTTTCATTGCACTGCATTGCAGAAAGGCTCTTAAAATATAATGATTATTTCCCAAAAGTATATATTTTTTAAAAAAAATATATATAGTATTTAATATATGATTTATGTCTATAGCAATTGTTTTTTTGTAATGTTTTTCTACAGAGGCTAATGTTACTTTTTAATGAGGTCTGAACTATGCTTCTTGATTTATGGGCTTTTAATGACTTTCCAATGCCCTGCCACATATAGAGAGAGGGAATGAGATCAGCACTTGTTGCAGGCCATATATGAACCTGCAGCCCCAAGGGAGCACCAGACCAGACCTCTTTTTAAATGTAGAAAACTCAATCTCTCTTTCTCTCGCAAGTGTTTAATATGGTATTCTTGTTGCACTGCTGTGTGATCTGGCTTCTCTCCTTCTCAGAAAAGCTGATTAGCAGCAGTAAAGTCCACTCATGTGAAGACCACGAGACTTTACTCTGTGAAAGAAAGACAGGAAAGAGGATAAAGTGTTTGGCGAGAGACTCCGGGTGAGAGAGGCACAGCTGGGCTCAGTTCAATATCAGATGAGCCTTTAGGCAATAAAATTAGAGCCAGATGAGGCTAATTTACTTTATGAAAACTTTGAACGGATATGATTGGATTAATCGACTCTGAGTTTCATTCCATTGACTTCACAGGATTTGAAACGATCAAATGAAATCAGTTTTGAATGAAAATTAAAGCCTCGGTCTAAATCACATTGAGGGTATTTGGGTTTGATGTTTACTTACAGAGCTCTCTGTTAGTTCACAGTGGTTCCTAAATAGGAAGATGGCTTTCAGTTATTTAAAATAAAACAAGCTTTAAAATAAACTAAAACATCTAAAAATCAGGATGTGAGATGATGTGATATTTCTTATTTTAATTAGTTCCCAACTGGCATTTTTATTTAATAACCAGAATCCTTTAAAAAAAAAAAATGGATATTTGAGGGAATTTTAAAAGTGTGATGTATAGACCTGGAAAAGTCATGGATATTAATAAAAACATTTCTACACAGAATGTACCTCTACACTGTAAAAATGAATATGCTTTATCTAATCAAAAAAATGTGGCAACAGATTACAAGTAATATTATAAAATAAATTTAACAAATTAGAATTGAGTAATAATTAATCAAATTAATTTCTTAAAAGTTAACCATTTAAAATGAGTAAAACTTACAACAACGACCATTATGGTGATCGGTTTGTTTTAAGGTTTGTTTTAAAATGATGGTTTTCTCCTTCAGTGATTCTGCTTGTTAACATCAGGTGTTTTCAATGTTGGGAATATAAAATAAAGAGTTCTTAATTAATATTTGAGGTCTGTCTGTCTGTTAGTGAGATATTTTTTGTATACTTTACTCATTTTAAATGGTTAACTTTTAAGGAATAATTTGATTAATTATTACTCAGTTCTAATTTGTTTATTATTAAATTTAATTAATAATATTGCTTGTAATCTGTTGCCACAATTCTACTAATTAGATAAAGCATATTCATTTTTACAGTGTAGTTTTTACTCAAGATCAAAAATTAATATTTGTGAGATAAAAATAATTTTAAAACCCTTAATCACAAAGTGGAGAAGCCGTTTAGATTTGATAATGAACCCTGAATAACTTTCAGTTCTTGAATCTTCTGAATTTTCGAATGTAATTATTACAATTTTATTGTAATTTAATATAATTTGTTATAATATTTCTAAAATTATTTGAACATATTGACACTCTTTCTGTAAATAAATAAGTAGCACCACAGCACAAGTACCAGAACATATATGAAGAGTTCAGATGCAAAAGCCTCTAAATGCCATTTGAAATTTTCTTCTTTAATGATGATTTTTATCAAACTTGTATATTTAAGTTCAGTAATTTCACTTAAATAACAATTAATAGGTAATCTTCATTGCCATTTAAGTGAAATTACTGAACTTACATATACAAGCTTGATAAAAATCATCATTAAAGAAGAAAATTTCAAATGGCATTTAGAGGCTTTTGCATCTGAACTCTTCATATTTAGGGCCTTTGAATATTGTCTTGGTCAATGAGGGGCCTCACTCGGAGTCAAAACGTTTGAGAACCACTGTGTTACATTCACATTCTTCTCAATGGCAGTTGCTTGTATGTGTGCTACAGCCATCACATCTGATTTCCCAATACTTCAGTGGGTATTCAACCATCTTGTGACATCCCAAATCCTATGAGCCGTATATGAATAACATTGCAAACGACACAGGGAATAAGTGAACATCAAAGTATAGTGGGGAAAATTGACCCACTTGTCATTGCATACCACCTCAGTGGATCATGAAATATCAAACAAAAATATATTGTTGTATAATGCATACTGTTTCACATCCTACTTTTATTAAAAATAGTAAAGAGAATGCAGTGTGGATACTGTATTCTGAATTCCAAGCCCTGGATCTCTCTATTTCTCTCTGTCCTTATCTTATTATCAGTCAGTGTTCATGTGCTGGTTTCTGACCATTATGTCAAATGACGACCCCCTCTTCTGTTTCCATAGCAACCCACACATCGTGTTGAACATAGACTTGGCCCCTACCATCCTGGATATTGCAGGAATGGATGTTCCACCAGACATGGATGGCAAGTCCGTCCTCAAGCTCCTGGACACAGACCGTGTCATGAACAGGTGAGATTGTCTCCTGAAGTGTGTCATAAAAAAAAAAAAAAAAAATTGAGTATTGAGTGGTGCTTCATTTTTTTCACCTGACTGAATTGTGGAAAGTGGAAGTACTGCACTGTAAAAAATATTTTCAAGATTTGTTATCACAACATATTTTCTTTTGTCAAATCAACTTTATAATAATTTATTTAGTTGAGATAACTTATTATTTTGAGTTTCTGATGATTAAATTAATCTCCTTCATTGTATTAACTCACTTTTTCCAGTTCAATCAACTTAAAATTTTAAGGCAACCAGGTTACTTACTTTTTTAAGTTAAACCAACAATATTTTTTTTTACAGTTTAGCAATCTCAAAATTTTTTCTTTTGTCAAATCAACTTAACTATAGTTCAGATAACATATAATTTTGAGTTTCTGATGATTAAATCATTCTCCTTCATTGTATTAACTCACTTTTTCCAGTTCAATGAACTTAAAATTTTAAGGCAACCAGGTTACTTACTTTTTTAAGTTAAACCATCAGTATTTTTTTGCAGTGTGTAAATGTTTATTGGTCAGTTGTTATTGTGTCTTTGGTTACATTTGCAGAATAGAAAAGTCAGATCAGTTGGTACATTTTGAACAGTGTTGAGGGTAACACATTACAAGTAACGTGAGTTTTGTAATCAGATTACTTTTTTCCAGTTACTAATAATAATAATAATAATAATAATAAAAACACTTGATTTATTTATTTGGATTGTGAAGAGATCAATTTGTAATTTGGGATATAGGAGTTTAACAATTTAGATAAATAATGTGAAGCCAAGCAATGAAATGCTTTATACTGTATGTCGGCATTATAATTTTAAAATCAACATGAAACCTGACTGGGAGCCAGAGTAAGGACTTCAAAACTGGAGTAATATGATTGCATATCCTGGAACCAGTCAAGAACCTGGCAATAACCTTTCTTCAAGAAACTCCAGCTAAAAGGGCATTACAGTTATCTTGTCGAGAGACAACGAATGAGTTTTCACCTTTTCAGCTACAGAGAAATTTAGCATAGGACGCAATCGTGCTATATTACTGAGGTGAAAAATTTGTTTTAACTGTACTATGAACAAAAGAATCAAATAAAACTCCAATGTTCCTCTCTTCAAAACAGAGCCATCAATAGTCAAAGACCAGCTTTGGAAATTTGATGAAGGGAATCAATGAGCATGAGACACAAAAAAATATTACTCATCCATGTTTTTATCTCAGAAATACAACCAGAGAATCCACCAGATTTTGATTTTATATCTGCAAATGACAAATGATGTGGTGGTGACAGATAAATATTGAAGAGTAAAGGGCCCAAGACTGCGCCCTGGGGAACACCAGTGCAAACAAAGTTAATCTCAAACCTGTCCCCATGTTAAGAGAAATGAGGAATAAGTGCAGAGGCGTTGTGTGTGCTGTCCGAACATGATGGTTATTGTAGTTTAAGAATAATTGTGAGCAGACTTTTACTCATCTCACTTGCAGTGCAAACTCAGACTATTACACAAACCAGCAATAATTAAATTACATTAAAATAGTTAAACAACACAAATACACTTTGTGTATTAAATCGTATTACCCACTGTCTTTTCTGCTGACCTTTGATGACCCAAGTTAACCACACAAATAAGCAAAAATTACATTAGACATAACATTTGTAGTAACTAATGCATTACTTTTAAAAGTAACTTTTCTCAACACTGACTTTGAAGTAAATACATGTAAATTAAAGAGACAGTTCATTTTGAAATTCATTTTTGTTATGTTTTAACTTACCTCAAGGGCATCCAAGATGTAGGTGTCTTTGTTTCCACAGTATTTGCAATTTTGATATGTTTAGGTCAAACCGTTCTTGTCTGTCAGTCATATAATGGAGGTCTATGGTCACCACCTCAAAGAGCATGCACAGATAAGTCCAAATTAAACATGATTTAATGACTCGTAAATGTAAGTACACATTGATGGCCTAAGACACGAAACGAGCGGTTTGTGTGAGAAAACGAACTGTATTTATATAGTTTTTACCTCTTGTTAACAGCTATGTCGAACTGATCTGAATCAGATGTCCAACTGAACCGAACAGAACCGTGTCCAACGTTGCGCCGGAAGTGATCTCTCGCGCGAGATTGCGGAAGTTTACCTTTCACTAAACATATTTAGATATACCGAAAATGTCAAAATTGAAAATACTGTGGAAACAAAGACACCTACATCTTGGATGCCCTTGAGGTAAGCTAAAACATATCAAAAATTAATTTCAAAGTGAACTATCCCTTTAAAACATGAACTGATGAACTGTGCACAGTAAGGCCAGAGATACTTATTAAGAACTGCCAATCTTATCTTTTTTAGAAGCCTTCTGAATCAACAGCACTACTTCGCTATATTACATGACCCTATTTGTACTGCTGAGTTTCCTGAGGACAATGACACAATGCATTTAGCCTAATCCTGAGTCTGTCAGAGCTGCAGGAACAGCACCTCGCCTCACTTCATTGTCATTGAGTGGCAGCAGATGGCAGTCTGCCAGGCGTCCTACTGGCACACAACCCCTCATCACCATGACACCTGCTGAAATCTCATCTCTGCACTCTTCCGCTAGCCTGCGTACCGCTTTTATTTTAGATGAGAGGAAGAGATGCATATCTCAGCAGGAGGTGGGTGGACAGGAAATAAGAAATCCGGAGGGAAGAGGGTCTTTCTGGGAAAATCACTGGCAGAGAGCAGGAGGGCTACATCTCTCAATCACCTCAGACACTAATTAAACAATTCATCCGCTTCCACGTGTTTTTTAAGGCATCTCTAATCATGCTTTTCAAGATTTTCTGGTCCTAGATATGTCTAAAAATAGTGTTGAGCAATCTGACTAAAACATCTCCACAATCGGCCTTGTGCTACAGTGCACATTGTATCAGTTCAGTGGATGGTTTCAATTATTATTGTTTCTGATTACCATCTGTATTGTGGTTATGCTAATGTGACATTGATTTTCTGTATCATCACACAAGTCTTGCCAGTTTAAACTTTCAAACGATTTTACTGGAGCGCTTTTCCTCAACTTACAGGAAAGGTTCTTGGCATGGTTCTCGCAAAGTTATGAATAAACGTTATTCCAGTAATGCAAAGTGAATGTAAACAGATTTGAGTGTGAAAATTGAATGCGCGTCAGTATATCAGATCCATGCTTTAACTCTTAAAGTGACAGCAGCCTAATATACATACAGTACATGAAACAATTCCCTCACTGCTCTTGGCTGAAAAACATTTGTAAGCTTTAATAAGAATCAATGGATATTTCATTTATACATTGAATTTTTACATTGGATTATTCACTTTCCTACTTGAATGGCTAAATAGACCTTCAGTGCCTGAAAAAATAATGAAAAGTTCCTTAAAAATGGTAGTTTTCAAAACCAAGTGATACCAACATGAATGCAAAGAATACATTTCTAAGAACTGTCTTTTATTGTGGACACAATACATCATTGACCCAATAGCAAAACTTTCTTCAATAATCCCCATGATTTTAAAGTATAATTCGTCTGTTGTGCAAATGGCATGGGACAAAGTATGCATAATTTAAGATTTGTGTAATAATGCTGCCTTAGTACCACTAACAAGAGGAGTCTGAATTGGAGAAAAGGCCAGGCAGAACACTCTTCAATCTGCCCAAAACTCCTGCGGAGATCAGAGAGTGTGTGTGAGAGCACAGATCAATAGCTCATATCTGCAGAGAAGGTCAGGAGGTGCACAGAGCACCTCCATATACATCCTTCTGGTTTTTTTTTTTATCAGGGACAGCATTGGGGAGAAAAAAAAATAATCGCAGGCTGGATTTATGTTTAAGCCGTTTGTAAAAAAAAAAAAATAATAATAATAAATTCTACTTTTACTATTTTTTTCATTCTTTTTCCAATCACGGGCTTAATTTGTCAGGTTTAGTCATCATTCGAAAATGCTGAGAGAAGGTCAATTTCTGGCCAATTTTCTGTTCCAGGTGATCAGTAACAAAGCCGGTAAATCAATATTCAACTGTCTCTCTCAATTGCAGGTTCCAGCTCAACAAGAAGGGAAAAGTGTGGAGGGACTCGTTCCTGGTGGAGAGGGGGTGAGTCTGAGTCAGCACAGATCTGAAGTCTGAAAACAGCCTGAGAGCTCTGGGTTCTTGGTGCGAAAGGTCAACAAATGTTAATTTGGGTTTTTCTTTTCTTCTCTGGTGACAGGAAACTGCTACATAAAATAGTGAATGACGAGAAAGATATGGCCCAGGAGGAGAACTACCTGCCCAAATACCAGCGTGTCAAAGACCTGTGCCAGCGCGCAGAGTACCAGACGCCATGTGAACAGATCGGTCAGGTACAACAACATACACACAGGAGAATCTTTCTTTCCTTTTTTATTTCGAATGTAAGAATGGGAAAGAAAGGTGATTTAAGCAACTTTGAGCGTGGCATGGTTGTTGGTGCCAGACGGGCCGGTCTGAGTATTTCACAATCTGCTCAGTTACTGGGATTTTCACGCACAACCATTTCTAGGGTTTACAAAGAAAGGTGTGAAAAGGGAAAAACATTCAGTATGCGGCAGTCCTGTGGGCGAAAATGGCATGATGGATCCATGGATGGATCCTAAACATGTAAAATAAATGATGATCCTATCTGTCATACACAATTTATGGCATTTAAAAAAAAAATTAAAGTGCTAAATTATTTAAATTAAAAAAGGACAATAATTACATAATAATGTAGTCGCTCCAACATATACTGAAGAGTTATGTAGAAATAAATAAAATAATCAAATGTAAAATAATATGTGTTCTGTTGCAAGTTCACATACTTGATCTCATGTTTTCTCATGTTTTATTGTTGAGCTGTCAAGTTCTCATGTTGACATAATCAGTTCAAGGACCCTGACACATTTTTATTTTAGATAATATTTTATTTTAATATTTTCATTATTTATTTATTTTTTTTATAGAATTAGAATGTACCAAATATTCTTCGGTTTTATGGAAAACATAAATATGACAAATGGAATATCAGATCTCTTTCATATGGCCAAAAATAAATGCAAAAAAAAAAAGCTTTTATGCCTAGCTGTTTGACAGATGAAAACTGTAACAATGTATCTTACATACACAATCTAACCTTGTTCTCACTTGAAATGTGTCCCCACATTAAGTCCTTGAATTTGAGGGTTTTGGACCTGGAAAGTCCTTGAATTTGATGTTAACCAAGGTGTGGGAACCCTGAAATTAACGATTATTTTGCTAATCGAGTAATAAGTCGATTATTTTGACGATTATCAAGTAATCGGATATTATCGGATATAATATTTTGATGGTAATAAAAATAGACTTAAAAGGTTAGTTCACCCAAAAATAAAAATTCTGTCAGTATTTTCTCACCCTCATGTTGTTCCAAACCTCTATGTGTTTATTTGTTCTGCTGAACACAAAGGAAGATATTTGGAAGAATGTTTTTAATCAAACAGATCTCAGTCCCCATTGACTACCACAGGAAAAAATACATACTATGGTAGTCAATGGGGAATGAGATCTGTTTGATTAAAACATTCTTCTTTTTGGGTGAACTAAGCCTTTAAGTGAACAATAACCAGGAAAATTACTTGAATACATCTAGAATAACAAAGCGGCTATAATAAATGGTTCAAAGAAAGTATCAAAAGCAAGTATAGTTTTATGATTTCATTGAACAACACATAATTTCATATACATAATATAGACATTCATCTTATGTACATTACATATTATCATCGAGTATTATTACTCGACACGGGCTAATTGCAATCAAGGATTTTGTTGATTAAAATCAAGCATATTGAAATTGAGGAAACATGATAACCCTACCAATATCTTTACTATGTCTCAATGCATGGTGCCATACACAAACTGTGAGCTCTGCATAATATGAGTGGCAGCTCTCTTTGAAAATGAGCAAAAACTCTATTGCTGACCTCAATATGTCACAAACACTCTTTAAAACACTAAAATCTCATGTTCAATCGTTTGCGCATAATCAAATAAATATTCATGAGCTTCACCAGTTAATGGCCATCACCAAACACGTCTGTGAATCACACAACCAGAAAAAAATTATGATAATTTATTCATTATTATTACAAATATAGTGTTTTTTTTTTCTTTATTAAAATACACACTTTGCAGAGGGGATGCAGTGTTAACTTTAATACCATAAAACCATAATATTACCATGGCACCTGGTAATATCTGCATGTTTTTGGCATATTTTGTCACTATAGACCCTCACACTATTACGAGTAGGTGTGTGTGTGTGAGCCGTCTGTTGAAACAGAAGTGTGAACAGAGAGATGTCTGGGCTGTCAGATCAGACACCTGAAATTTCATGCTCTCACTTTCAGTCTAACAAGACTGACCCGCTGCAGTCCTCCAGGGACCCGCAGCCCATTCCTGCATTATCTATCCTCTCCATCCAGCCCTCTTTTCTCCAGCTCTTCATGTCAGTCAGGCATTATTCCTACATCTTCTTTTCAGTTTTGATCAAGAAGTTTGCCTTTACGCACCTTCACAGTTTTTCAAAGCAAGAAAAATTCGAGTTTCCAAAAGAAAGGGAAAATTGCTCTTGCCGGTAGAGTTGTTGACGTGCATTGTTTTAGCTCCTGATTTACTTAGAATTATGTGAAAGGTGAAAACTTCTTTAATTTGTACGGCACAATTCCCAGCACAGATACAGTAGCAGTTTGCTGGATTGGCCTTTATAAGTTCAAACCCACATTCGTTCATTTACCAGTCTTAACCGGTTTAAGCGGTTAACCGGTTGTTTACCAGTCTTGGTTAAGTCAGCATGAAACAGAAGTTGCAATTAACTCTATTGTTATGTATAATCAACTGACATGTCTTCTGGAACATGACAAAATATAGGACGGGGCTTGATTCTGTCAATGGGAAGCTGATTGGATGTTGTGGTTTGCTATTGGTCGATCTCATGTGAGTGACAGGTCGCCCCGCCCTCACGCCAGGGACATCATTAAAGAAGAAACGAGATGAGCTGTAAGAGGGAGGGGAAGTTAGGGCATGCTAATTAAAAAAAGTAATAACGATGTGCACGGATAAATCATTCTTAGGCCCTGTTTACACGAGAACGCTCGCGGGTGAAAACGTAAAAATATTTTATCGGATGTGCCTTTCGTTTACACGGCAACGGCGTTTTTGAGGCTCAAAAACGCAAAAAAGTGAAACCACCGTCCAGAGTGGAAATCTTAAAAACGCTCCACCGCCGCGTTCCCGTGTAAACGGTAAAAACGCAAAAGTCTGCTTGACGGTGAAAGTTGTACACAGGCACGTGGACTTGGTGTTGTTGTAGTATGCACTCCTAGCCGACTGAAGTGCATACTACATTGAATTTCACACACTTTTGCGTCTCCATTTGCACGCGGATTTCCAACACTCTCTCACGACCAATTCGTACGAATTCGACGCATGATTAAAAAGTGGCTAATTCGTACTAATTCGTACGACCTCACTCGTACTAATTCGTACGATTTGTCTAAACCCACGTGATGGTTAGGTTTAGGGGCGGGGTAAGGGGTAGGTCATTCGTACGAATTAATACGAATTGGCCAATTCGTAAAATATGTACGATTTAGCAAAATTGTATTAATTCGTACGAGTGAGGTCGTATGAATTGTTACGAATTAGCCACTTTTTAATCATTCGTCGAATTCGTACGACTTGGTCGTGAGATCGGGTTGGGATTTCCCACACAAAACGCTCGTCTAAACGCAGAATAAAAAAAGATGACGCAACGCCACTTGTGCGTTTTCTCTTCAGAATCGTTTCCGTGTAAACATAGCCTTAATAAACACTGCTATATTCTGAATTGTCACTTTTGGTTTCATGGGGACTTTAAACACTCGCCCATCTCTCTGATAGAGCGCGGTGTAACTTGTCTTCCTCTATAACGAAGCTTTTAACGAGGTGGATTTGTGATCATTTTAGCTGAGTAAGATTTCACACACTTGGCAGGGGGTTCATTTTCATCTTTTACTTCCAGTGTATAAGCACACACACACACACACTCGTCAAGGTGAGAAGTTAATCGGTTTTGATGGTGTCAAACAAGTTGTCTTCATGAGCAGACACTGTCAAATACAGTTCAGCTACAGAGGAACGAGCTAAGATTATTTTATAAGAACAAGGTTAATGTTGTATAAAACATATGGTATGGTAATAGATGACATTACTTTAATTAATGTACCTTGGCATTTACATTACAATAAAAAATACACACAATTTTACCAAGGTATCGTTGCAGCAAAAAAAAGGTATATAGATGGTATTACCATGGTATCCTGCCTAAACAGCAATGGCACTTCTGTTATTGTTCTGTTAGTGTATTGATCATCGATGCATGAAGATCTCCCTCTCTCTCCCTCTCTCTCTCTCTCTCTCTCTCTCTCTCTCTCTCTCTCTCTCTCTCTGCAGAAGTGGCAGTGTGTCGAAGACGCCACAGGGAAGCTGAGATTGTCTAAATGCAAAGGCATGGCCAGTTTGTCTGCAGTGCGGAAGCCGCCTGTATCCAGCATCAAATCCCAGCTTTATCTTCAGAGCATGAGCGCTGATGTCAGCGTGAACTCTGAGCCTCAAGCCTGCAACTGTGAACCCAAAAGCTACAGCACCTTCTCCAAGAACAAACTCTTCTCCAAAAAGAGTGAGTACGACTAGATATACTGCACAGCTGCAGGCACACACAGCAACAAGTCCTCCACACACACACACACACACACACGCACACAAATCATTAGGCATGCATTCAGTCAATTTTTCTTTGTGCCTCTGCTGCCCTCCAGTGGAAGGAAAACGTACACACACACAAAAAAAAGACTTTTTATGCAATATTATGTTATATATTAGCCTAAATATAATTATATATAATGTATTATATGTTTTTTTTGTTTGTTTGTTTTTGTTTTTTTATTGTTCTTCTGATTGTTATTAGTATAAATATTATTATCAAGATTACTCTACTTTGTGTACAAAATTTTCACTAAATTTAAGGAAAATTGCAACTTAACTTGCAACAAATACTAGTGACTGACATCTGTCAATCATCTGTTCGTAGTTGTTCTATATTTGTCAAATTTATCTGAAAGATTTATTTATTGTAGTAAACTTTCAATTACTGTTAAAATGATTAGTAGTAGTTGTTTAATTGTAATAAATCATGTACTATTTATATATATAATTATTCTATTAAAATTATTAGAAAACAATTATTAATTGTTATTTTAAAAATGTATAATAATAATAATAATAATAATTTATTTAATATTATTCTAATAATTTTATATATATATATATATATATATATATATATATATATATATATATATATGTTGATAATAATTATGTTTGTACGCTACCGTTCAAAAGATTGTTAAAGGAGTAGTTCACTTTAAAAAAAAAACTTTTGCTGATAATTTACTCACCCCCGTGTCATCCAAGATGTCCATGTCTTTCTTTCTTCAGTCGAAAAGAAATTAAGGTTTTTGATGAAAACATTCCAGGATTTTCACCATATAATGGACTTCAGTGGGAACCAAACTGTTTATGGTCCAATAGACACTTTCAGTACAAACTGCAAACTGTTCAAAGGACTTTAAACAATTCCAGACGATGGATAAGGGTCTTATCAAGTGAAACGATCGCTCATTTAAAAAAGAATAACAAAGTTTAAGTTTTATAAGCACAAAAGCTCGCCTTGCTCTGTTAGGGTTCGGGTTAGGGTGTGATGCGCGTTCGTGACTCTCCTGTTCAAACTCGTTCATCAAATCCTATCCCGAGTCAACTCGTTCATTTTGTTTGTTGAATGAACCAAATCACATGAAAAAAGATTTGTTCAGTTTGATGAACGAGTTCGAACAGGAGAGTCACGAACACACATCACAGAACAGAGCAAGGCGACCATTTGGGCTTATAAAACTTAAACTTGTTGTTGTTGTTTTTTAAATGACTGATCATTTCACTTGATAAGATCCTTATTCATTGTCTGGTGTCATTTAAAGCCCTTTCAACAGTTTGCAGTTTGCACGGAAACTCTCATTTGGACCTTGAACCATTTAGTTCCCACTGAAGTCCATTATATCCTGGGATGTTTTCATCAAAAACCTTAATTTCTTTTTGACTGAAGAAAGAAAGACATTGACATCTTGGATGACATGGGGGTGAGTAAATTATCAGCAATTTTTTTTTTTTTTAAAGTGAACTAAGACTCATAGAAAGTCATATAATAATATGGTAAAATTTTGTTTAAATTATATATTAATGATGTTAATAATGTTATTATCAGAATCACTTGATTTGCAATTTTGTGAAAAATATTATTACAATCTATAATAAGTATTATTTTTCCTTTTTTTTAATAAACATTAATATATATATAAATGTATGTATATATATGTTACAAGTATAAATGGAATATATATAAATGGACAAGAGATAATGTGAAGCCCTGCGTTTGATTGACAGAACTAAAGTCACTGAAGAGCTACTCCAGGAACCGCTTTGCCCGTGCTGTTTCCATGGAGATGGGCGGAGACCTGTACGCAGTGGACCTGGATCACGAGCACAGACCCGCGGGCCCCAGGAACCTCAGCCTCCAGCAGAACACAGCGGATGAGGACGAGTTCAGCGGGATGGGACCCGCGGCAGTCGACCAGACCAGCAACAGCCTGACTGTGCCCTCCTCCATTAAAGTCACTCACAGGTGTGTGCTTCACGAGAGACACATGCCCGAGGCAAGAGGGACTGTAGTGTACTGAGAATATGTGTGTGTGTGTGTGTGTTTCAGATGTGCCATTTTGGCCAATGATACAGTGAAATGTGACGGTGGTCTGTACAAATCACTGCAAGCGTGGAAAGACCACAAGCTCCACATCGACCATGAAGTAAGACACACACTGTCAACAAGCTGCGAGCTCAAAAAAAAAATAATTTTACTTAAGAATGTAAAGAAACACACAAAAAAGCATCAATAAAAGTTCATAAACATTATTGTATGATACTTACAAGGTGTCTTACAATGTTAATATATGTACACTGTCATCTCTTTTCCAGATCGAAACACTCCAGACCAAGATTAAAAACCTGCGTGAGGTCAGAGGTCACCTGAAAAAAGCACGACCTGAAGAGTGTGACTGCAACAAATACTAGTAAGAGTGACACCTGTCAATCATCTCTGCATCACTGATGGACCAATATTTTTATGTCTACTGTTTACTCGGATTCATAACTTTTTTTTTAATAATTATTAATTAAATTAAAATAAATTATATACAAATGTATTTATTTAATTATAAATGCTTAAATTATTTATTAATAATACTTTTTAATACTTTTTTGTTTATGTTTCATTTCATACATGTATACCATAAATAAAATACATAATTAAATCTAAATAACTAATTTTAATATTTTGACGTTAATAATCAAAATATAGTTGATATATAATAAATTGTATTTAAAATATGCTTATTAAATTGTTATTATATATTTTTTTTCTCTTTAAGTTACAAATCAAAGTACAAGAGTAAACTGAGGAAATACAAAGCAGGAGGCGTCCATCCGTTCAGGTGGGTTCCTGTGTCTGTCTACTGAATGTACAGTGTGTGTGTGAATGAATGCATATGAGCTGATTATGGTTTCGATTGTTCTCTCGTCCGCAGTAGGAAAGGAAAGGACAAGGATAAGAAGGCCTGGTTATTACTGGAGCAGAAGCGCAGGAAGAAGCTGAGGAAGTTACTGAAGCGTCTGCGCAACAATGACACCTGCAGCATGCCTGGCCTCACCTGCTTCACACACGACAACCAGCACTGGCAGACCGCCCCCTTCTGGACACGTAAGACACACACACGATAGCTATGTTTCCATCCAAAGTTGTGAATTCATTGCAAAAATGTTTGCGAATAAAGCACTGCTTCCATCCAATGAGACAAAGAGAACAAAATCAGTCCAATGGTTAGCTCAGTTATGGCGTCCCACATGATAAGTCCACTTTTTTTTTATAGTTTTTATGTTTTTTTTAAACATGTTTCCATTTCAGTTTATGCACATGTTTTCTTATCGGATTAAAAAAATGATCCTCCTCAATTGAATTTGTGCACATCTTGGGCATTTCCATCCAGCGTTTTTTATCTAATATCCCCAAATCCTCATAAAATAGGTGGATGGACACACTTAATGTCTTTGTCCGGATCAACATGTCCCTCTCTTTTGTGTCTTTTTGTTTTCAGTGGGGCCGTTTTGTGCGTGCACTAGTGCCAATAACAACACCTACTGGTGCATGAGGACCATTAATGAGACACACAACTTCCTGTTCTGTGAATTTGCCACTGGATTTCTGGAGTACTTTGACATCAACACAGATCCGTATCAGGTCAGGGGTCATATATAAAGACAACATAAAATCACAATGGACTGTGTTTACTATTACTATTACTATTACTCAGTCAAACTATTGCATGTAATTATGCAAGTTGCATGTAATTATACATAATTTATTTTACACAATTCATCAGTACATTATACTATACACTCACCTAAAGGATTATTAGGAACACTTGTTTTATTTCTCATTAATGCAATTATCTAATCAGCCAATCACATGGCAGTTGCGTCAATGCATTTAGGGGTGTGCTCCTGGTCAAGACAATCTCGTGAACTCCAAACTGAATGTCAGAATGGGAAAGAAAGGTGATTTAAGCAATTTTGAGCGTGGCATGGTTGTTGCTGTCGTATTTCACAATCTGCTCAGTTACTGGGATTTTCACGCACAACCATTTCTAGGGTTTACAAAGAATGGTGTGAAAAGGGAAAAACATCCAGTATGCGGCAGTCCTGTGGGTGAAAATGCCTTGTTGATGCTAGAGGTCAGAGGTGAATGGGCCGACTGATTCAAGCTGATAGAAGAGCAACTTTGACTGAAATAACCACTCGTTACAACCGAGGTATGCAGCAAAGCATTTGTGAAGCCACAACACGCACAACCTTGAGGCGGATGGGCTACAACAGCAGAAGACCCCACCGGGTACCACTCATCTCCACTACAAATAGGAAAAAGAGGCTACAAGTTGCAAGAGCTCACCAAAATTGGACAGTTGAAGACTGGAAAAATGTTGCCTGGTCTGATGAGTCTCGATTTCTAATGAGACATTCAGATGGTAGAGTCAGAATTTGGCGTAAACAGAATGAGAACATGGATCCATCATGCCTTGTTACCACTGTGCAGGCTGGTTGTGGTGGTGTAATGGTGTGGGGGATGTTTTCTTGGCACACTTTAGGCCCCTTAGTGCCAATTGGGCATCGTTTAAATGCCACGGCCTACCTGAGCATTGTTTCTGACCATGTCCATCCCTTTATGGCCACCATGTACCCATCCTCTGATCCAGCAGGATAATGTACCATGTCAAAAAGCTTAAATCAGTTCAAATTGGTTTCTTGAACATGACAATGAGTTCACTGTACTAAAATGGCCCCCACAGTCACCAGATCTCAACCCAATAGAGCATCTTTGGGATGTGGTGGAACGGGAGCTTCGTGCCCTGGATGATATCCTATCAATATGGGCCAACATTTCTAAAGAATGCTTTTAATTTCGGCACCTTGTTGAATCAATGCCACGTAGAATTAAGGCAGATTGTGAAGGCGAAAGGGGGTCAAACACAGTATTCGTATGCTGTTCCTAATAATCCTTTAGGTGAGTGTATATATATATATATATATATATAGCTACATAACCTAATTTCAGTGATGAAAATGACACCAAATCTTGAATTCGTTATGGAAGTTAATTTTTTAGGTTATACAATTTTATATTGTGAAAATATTTAGTCAAAAATGTTATGAGAAAGGAATAAACATTATGAATCGCTGTAATGGTGCTTTTCTCTCTGTATGTGTGTGTAGTTGGTGAATGCTGTAAACACACTGGACCGGTATGTTCTCAATCAACTGCATGTGCAGCTCATGGAGCTCAGAGGCTGTAAGGGACACAAGCAGTGTAACCCTCGCACACGCAGCCTCGACATGGGTGAGTCACACACACTCATATATCACACACACACTTATACTTATGCAAAGACACAGATGCTAGGCATCCGGCGACTGATACACTGACTGACACACACAAGGCAATGGGTGACATGGACAATGTCATATCTTCATCATCATCATCCTCACCTGATCCCTGGCCCTGCCTTGCTTCCTGTTTTCTCCTTGTTTTTATATGCAAACTGAAACTCGTAGCATCACCTCCTGAGCTGCTGTCCTGAAGGGTAATCATGATGTGCCACAGCATGCTGTCTGAGGGTGTTCCCATGTCTTTAGTAGTCCCTGCTCTCAAAACATGAGATTCATTTTCAGCAGAAGTGATCATTCCAGTGATAAAACCAGATTTATCGATTCACTTATTGATTCATTCCAAATGAACTCAAGGACAGCTCACGTCATGTTAAAACTCGGCGGTGCTTGCGATCGGATTAAAGATGTCGAAAGGTCACTGAAATGCAAGAGTAGAGTAAAAAACTTCAAATGTTTGTTGACAAATTGTGATTCATATTAGCATATAACTTCTTTTCGGATTGGAAATGAAATAATTATTTATTTTTTATACATTTCGTTCCAAAGTTTAGGTTCGGTACGATTTTTTTTTATTTTAAAATATTTTAAATGTAATTTATTGGTGATGCCATTGCTGATTTTTTAGCATCCGATACATTCCTTTTAAAAAACAAATCTTATTGACCTCAAATGTTCATCTGCATAATTCGGTACGCTGACAGATTCATTCGTAGATTTTTGTTCAACACTTGACCTTTGACATCAGCATTGCTTTTTCTTCCTTTTAAAAGTTGATAGAAGAAATCTATGAATCTATTGCCAACTCTGCACAATTATATTGTTACATTTAGTATCGTCTATTCCTGCTGTCCTGTGTTTTTTTAACAGACCCGTATGAGAACCGCTGTTTTCCAGAACAGATAAAGTCAGTTGAGTATTTTATTATGTGTAAAAATCATCTGAAAGGGATCGGAATAGCTTAAAATGAACAATAATATTCTGCGTTTGCATATTGATCCTGCAGATGTATTATTTTCCAAAAGACTTCTATCCGGTTCGTTTATTCAAGCTCGCTTTGCCCGACCCTTGTCACTTCATTCATAATAACAACGAAAGATCTTATTTTTGGCACCATAACCTCCCATATGACCCTTGGACAGGAGCCCAGTGATGCTTTCCTGAGGATCTTAAACATGATGGGGTTGTACATCACATTGTTTTTACACTCTCTAACTAATGATATTGTCTCTTCTTCAGGGGGTAAAGAGAGAAGCAGCTATGATGAATACAGGTATCACTGCCAAATGAATCTAACCCCATTTTAGACTACAAGGCTATTGTGAGATTATTTTGGATGAAGATACTAATCCACTTCTGCAGTTCTGTTGTAGACAGCTTGAAGCTTAAACGTGAATGTTGAAGTAGTCTGATGCACAGTCACACACACACCTAAAGGCATCGTAGGAATTCACTCCTCAATGTGAAAGCAAGGAGAAGACCTCTCTGTCACAGATTTGATGTCAGTTTGCTGTTAAAAGCATTCTTAACTCATTCTTCAGTTTGTAAAAACAAAACCGATTGTGGACAGTAATTCACTTGCAATGGAAGTCTAGGAGTTTAAAACAAAAAATGGGCAGCTTGTATTTTTAAAGGATATTAAAGGAGTAGTTCACTTTTAACCCTAAAACCATATTCTGGACAAATGTGGGAAAAATAGTTTTGATTTATTTTTTAAAAAATACTTCCCTTGATCTGAGCGGTACAAGACTTGGCTACTTTTCCTAAGTTTGCCTCCTGAACACACAACATTTTTTTTGACTCTATTCTACAATGTTAAGTGGGTGAAAAAAAAACTCCTTAATCTTGTATTTGGGTCTAAAATGGACACCCATAGAAATGAATGGGAAAAACTGTAATTTAGAGCGCTCTAAAATAAGCCAAAATAAAACACCAGGTGACAGCAAAGTCACTTCATCTTTAAGTTTTAGCTCTAAGAACTTATTGGAATGATATTTTAATGTATTTAAAAAATAAAAAACATAAAAATAAGCATAATTTACATAGAAAATATGGTACTTTTTGAAGTAAATAAATTCAAAAATACCCCAAAAATAAAAGAAAACACCATAAATGGATAGACAAAACTTTATCGAAGAAAGTAATATAACATTTATAAGAAATAAAAATTAGGATCACACCTGAGTCCTCTGTGCCCACATTGGTCCACAATTACAGGATTAAGGGCTATAAAGTGAATACGGTTTGAGGGCTACAAAAACTTTTGCTGATAAATAACTCACCCCCATGTCATCCAAGATGTCCATGTCTTTCTTTCTTCAGTCGAAAAGAAATGAAGGTTTTTGATGAAAACATTCCAGGATTTTCTCCATATAATGCACTTCAATGGGAACCAAACGGTTCAAGTTCCAAATGAGAGTTTCAGTGCAGCTTCAAAGGGCTTTAAAACCACACCAGACGAAGAATAAGGGTCTTCTCTTGCGAAACGATCGGTCATTTAAAAAATAAATAACAAAGTTGAAGTTTTATAAGCACAAATGCTCGCCTTGCTCTGTTCTGTGATGAGCGTTCGTGACTCTCCTGTTCGAACTCGTTCATCAAAATGAACAAATCTTTTTTCGACTTATAACTCGAAGGGTCCTAGTTAAGACCCTTATTCATCGCCTGGTGTCGTTTAAAGCCCTTTGAAGCTGCACTGAAACTCTCATTTGGACCTTGAACCATTTGGTTCCCAATGAAGTCCATTATATGGAGAAAATCCTGGAATGTTTTCATCAAAAACCTTAATTTCTTTTCGACTGAAGAAAGGAAGACATGGACATCTTGGATGACATGGGGGTGAGTAAATTATCAGCAAAAAAATTTTTTTTTTAAAGTGAACTACTTTTCTACAAAAACTATATAAAAGCTTCGTTAACTTCCTTGACATGTCAGATGTCTTCTCCTTCAGATTCTGTACTCTCTCTCTCTCTGTCTTTGTCTCTCTAGCCCTATACTGTGCCTTGCATGTATTCAGCCTTGAGTTTTGTTGTGTGTATGTGAAAGCCTCTGAGTTCTCTGATTGGCTCTGTCTCTGTCACATGCTTGAGTTTGGGGGCGGGGTAACAGTTTGTCTTATCGTTGCTTGTCGCATTAGGCAGTTTCAGCGCCGGAAATGGCCTAAAGTGAGGAAGCCTGTCTCCAAATCGCTGTGAGTTTGGACAATAATTCTGCTTCTCGTCCGTAGGATACAATGCCACCAAGCCACTACTTTGAATCACCGTTCTCTCGCTCTCTCTCTCTTTAATTTCCGTTCTCTTGACTGCATTACGTTCTGCCTGGCCTGCATGATTTAGTTTGTAGAGGCATGGAAACTGTTCAAAAGCACGAGGGGAGATTCCCTCCACATGCCCCCATCATCTTCACCTCATCTCACTCAATGCCTGAAACATTTACGTTCTTCCTGCCTTCACCATCCTTTTCAGGGTTTTCCGTCGTTGTTGTTTTTTCCTTTTCATTTAACATGAAATCCCAAGCATCCATCTCCATTTTGATGCATCCACTTGTAATCAGTGCTCGTTTTGACGCAAATGTTTAACAGTTGTGGCCGTGCTTGTGTGTGTGTGATGTTCCCCCACAGAGGCCAGATTTGGGAAGGGTGGGAAGGATAACTCATGGAACGAGGACGTCCCGGAAGACACCGACCTGTTTCCCGGCGAGTCGAACTGGTCCGAACTTGAACCTTTGTACAGACTTGACGAGCACGCCTACGATCTCAAACTCAACTTCACCCTCAGCCTCGAGGACTGGGCTCATTTCAGCCGCTCCGTGGACCACATGTTCACGCTCCTCAGCAACGACAACCAGCCGTACTCTCCGCCCCGTCCCGAGGACAAAAACACTGGGAGAGGCCACGCCCTGGTGTCCTCCAGCCAATCCGCTTCAGCCATCTACCTGACCACTCTGGCCACCCCCGCGCTTTTACTGAAGGAAGCTGGTGCTGAGGTTTTGAGGGATGCTTTTGGGCTGAACCAACAGGTACGTCCCTCTTCTTCGTCTTCATCGCGCCCCATGGACGACGCTCCTCTCGGAGAACTGAAAGGGGACGGACTGAGAGAAGGGAGGGACGGCGATGAGGAGGAAGAGGACGAGTTTGTTCAGAGACGGACAGGAAAGTTAAGCTCCACCCACTGCGACTGCAATGCCATTTTGCAGGAAACGGTTTGACTCTCACGTAATGTTCCTCGCTCACGCCGTCCCTCGTCAGAAAGACATCGCAAAATACTTCTAAATTTGACGGAAGTGAAGAAAGAGGAGGGTTTATGCCAGCATACAGTCCTTCAGGTCATTTTTCTTCTGTCTATCGACTGGCCTCAGAAGCGCGGCGACGTTTTCCCAACTTCCTCCGTAAGATAGGCTAGGCTTTGAACAGATCTTTTTACTTCATTTACCTTTCTTGGAGGGATTAGGGAAGGTTGGGGGTTAAAATTAAAAGCAGTAAAACTTGGGAATGGGAATGAGATGTTGTGTCCGTTCATACTTGATTCAGTTTGAAACCGGTTTTGCACCGCAATCTTTGATGGCTGCTTCTCTCTTGCTTTGAGTCTCCAGAAGGTGTCTCACTTGTCTTATACAGCCTTACAACTTCACTGAACATCACCTCAGATATAGGTCAATAGCGAATGTGTGTGTGTGAACAAAGTCAAAAGTGAATACGAGTGTGATAGATTGAAGCTTTCTGATTTCATTTGTTGCTCCCAGTGTATGTTATAGCATTATTTTGTTTATGCTTAAAAATTGGTTTGAAATTTCTTACAGTTTCTTTGCTGCTTATTGCAGTGTTGTGAGTTGAACAAACTAACCACAAAAAAAAGAATAAGAAAAAAGATGGTTCATTTGATGTATCGGTCATTATTTGTGTTTGACAAAAATAGTTTTCCCCCCCAAACACACTAAGAACGCCCTATTTGTAACAGCTTGTTCTTAAACGTTTTGCTATACACAGTGCTACTAATATCAGAGCAAATATATGAAATGGATGTATGTATTTTAATGTGTGTTTCCAATATAAATGGTTAAAGGATATTTTTACTACACATTTGAAGCGAAACAGACATCCCTCCAGCTCCAAGTTTTATTATTTATGCAGCATTTTTTTTAACAGTTCTTTAATACACATTCATTTTTTATGGTGATGTATCTGAGATTTTTTTTTTAATTATTAATCCACCTACCCGATGTGTTTCATCCCTGTTTTGAGATCAGTTTGGCTCTGTTCAAGAGGGTAATCTGATCCCCGATTCTCTGGGATACTTCATCAGTACAGGTCATTGTGTTCACATATTTCATATCAATGTTGGACATCCACCCCTCACCTCTCGTGGCTGTACTTAAAGCTGTTTTGTCTGAGATTGTGAATGGTTGTTTCGAAAACCACCATAATTATTGTAAAGATGTACTGTGTAGATACTTGAGGATAGGAGACGACATGGAGAGGAGGAGGAGACATTTTCCTGGCTTCGGCACTTTCAAAGGGAGGGCTGTTTTTGAGATAGGAATTTAAAAGAGATGAGATGGTTTTAACAAAGTCTTGTACAGTTCTATAGATTTATCATACCTATATTTTTGTTTTGGTTTACCAGTGAACATTTGATAGTGCTCATTACTTTGTGAATAAAGTGTTGAATGCCCAAATTGCTTATTGTTTTTGTTTTGTTTTAATAACTCAACATGTGGTATGATATGAAACAAAGGGATTGATAGATATTTAAGACAGTTAAATATTATTTTAACATTATTATAGTAGAATACATAACTGCACAAGTTTAGTTTTATTATTATTAATCTTTGTCTGTAGGTTATGCCAGAGGTTGCCAATATGTTGTGTATTATGACATTGATTCATTCATAAACTCTACTGTGGGATGCTCAGTGACGCATCATATTTTAACTGATTTGCAAATACAGACAAAGTAACTGTCAATATTGTGTCTAAAATGTAAGTATTGAACTTCTCAATTAACATTAAATTTATGTCAATTCTGATTTTTTTATCGAATACAGCAATAATTATTGTAAATTGTTTATCCGTGCTCACTATTATTAATAATAATATTGTTTTATAATTCATTAATTAATGTGCCCTCTCAATCTTTAATCAAAATAACTTGATGATGACCTGTTTACTGTTTAATGGATATGCTAATTCAATTCAATGTTTGTTGGTAGACAAAAGTGTCGTCAAAATTTTAATATCAAGCTACCCTAGATGAATCTGCAAATTTGAAAAATCGATTTGCATTATAGCCTGAGGCAAGACACTTTTCACCAGAAAAATAAGTAACAAACATGACTATCAGCCTGCAGACATAGGTTATCCTGACCAATTATTTTGTCTGTCTAATCATGTAGGCCTATTATTTACTTGTAAGAATGTAGCCCCTACCAAACTCAGTAATCAGTATAACGTCTCGAGCTGGCGCAAGCTGCCTGCCCCGGCTCTACGGGGATGCTTGAGTGTGTTAAGTGCCCTCAAAAGAAAGCAATACAGTCTACATTGGATGCGGCGAGGGGCAAAGCTACACAACACATTACCAACAGTAAACTGATCATGTACGCTCTGTTTCTGACGCACTTCACATTTGGTTTTACTTGCTGCTTCAGCCATGACAACATACAGAGGTAAGAAGAAGAAAAAAAACGCTCGTTGGGCTCTCGCGTCGGATTTTGAGGAAGTGGGGAAAGTAAAGCAGTCGAATTTTGTAGTTCTTTTTGTGCTCAGGGTTCCTACCCGCACCTCGAAGTTACATATATAGGCCTACATAGTGCCAGCGAAACAGGCACTGTCAGGCTATGGCAGACCTATCATTCAACCTAAAATATTATAAAGGTTGAAAAAACTACATAGTGCAGCTTAAATAAAAATAAAAATATATGCCATGCTCGCAAATTATCACCGAACATTATTATGAACACTCGTACTTATTACTTACTTTTTATATCACTTATTATCATAATAAATTAACAGCCTCATCCTCTACAATGGAATAATATGAACCTCAGACTGGAGATTCTGAACTAGCACTATAGTAACACAGCTACAATGTAAAACTGTATATTAAAAGACCAAAACACAAGTTTTTATTTCCATTCTTCCATTTTTATGTCAAAACAATATTCGCTTCAGTGCTTGTAGTAAGTGTTTGCGCTGCCTCGACTCTCCACCAGATGACGCCTCTCCTCTCCTCAAACGCCGAGCCCCACAGCGAAACTACACTGTACAGCAGGCTGCAGTAGAGATCAGGTTACTCGAGCATGGCCCAAACTGAAGGGGGCGGGGGAATAACCCACTCCAATGTCTGCTCCAAACTCCAGTGGGACAGAAAGCCTGAAATCCACTTTCACAGGCTCAGTGCAGTGTGCTCAGTTTCTGCCAGAGGACACATCTCACTGCTTTCACTCTCATTCGTACAAACAATGTGAGGAACATGGCTGACAGAAGGTAAGATGGATCATTTCGCTGAGTTGGGAATACATGTTGCGGTTGAACAGTGCAGAGAGAACGGCGTGGATAACTGTGATATTTAAACAATGTTCATTTTAAACTGGGGCACAATACTGGGATGTAACTTCATCAGACGATACTGTGGCTGTATAGACAAGGTGTTATTCACGGGATGTGATGGTGACACACAAGTGTTTGTATGAGCAAAGTTCATTAAAAGCTACTTTGAAACCATTTAGGATGTTGTTCCCCGATTTTAAAGTGATTTCATTGATGTACAGTAAATAACCAACTTAATAAGTGTCATCATTCCATAAAAAGTATACTTTGTTTTGTGTCCCTCATGAACATGAAAACAATGACTTTACCCATGCAAAGCTGACAGCAACTTTTATTACAGTAATGTGTTTGTTTGTTTGTTTGTTTGTTTGTTTGTTTGTTTTTTGACAAAATACACCCTTTTTTATGTATTTATTTTTGTTTTGTTTTATTCTCTTTCTCCATCTCGCTTTTTAGGCCTGTTTCATCTGATTTTCCTTGCTATTAGAACTTAACAGTGAATATGTTAATAGTTTTATATGTAATTCAAGCTTTTAATAAATCATTTAAATCATTTATCATTTTAAAAGACATCAATTTGTGTCCCCATGTTAAGTATCAACCCCTGTAATCATCATAATTAAATGGATTTACACGTCCATAGATGATAAAAATGTCACTGACATCATTCTTCAAGGACATGTAATTGACTTTTTGTTATTTTATCTTTTATCAGTAGGGGGTGATTGTAAATACAATTTTTGAAAACTGGATTAAAGTATTCTTAAACGGATATATCAGCATTTAATTGCATATTATCAGCACACTTTCACAATACACACTTTGTACTGTCTGGACCTTGATTAAGTTGCTAATAATGATAAATTAACTGTAAAACTGTCAACCCTGTTACTTAAAAAAAATGACATTTGTCATATTTTTTATGTTTAAAATTAGCTTGAGATGGCACAATGCAATTTATTAACACTTACATTTATTCTTTGTCTGATGAAATTCTGAAAAATGCTTAATTTGGATACGGTTAGTGTGCACACTGCGTTGTCACAAAAGCTTATCATTTGAATGTGTTTTTATGCTTTGTGGTTTCAAAACGAGTGGTTTTAAACAGTTCAAGCACAATAAGCAGCGAAACAGAACTTGTCTGAGAGCTGGTTTCTGAGCGCACACGCCGGAAACACGCGCCTAAAGCCGCTGCTCAACACGAGTACAGAAATTAGTTGTTTTTGCCACCTTGAATGGTCAAATACTCACACTTTTGTGCCAAATAAGCCATCTTTGCGTGTATCTTCATAAACATAGACATTATATTTATTCTGTGAGACATAAAAATGATGTCTTAAGTTAACATAAACAGAAAACGCATAATAATAAGACTCCTAAGATTTGTCATATCGTCATATCAAATGTCAAAAAAAGCCTCTGTGATCCATATTAGATGTGCTGACCAATGAAGGATTGATTATTAAGGGCGATAAATGAACAGATGCGATGCGGGTCCAGTGTCGGCTTCCAGGTGTCAGCCTTAATGGAGTTAATAGGATGGATTTTGACATGTTTTATTAATCATGTTGCAATGCCATATCCCTTTGCGTTCTCAGAAGACCTCCTCTGAAGCCAGGACAAACACTGACAGCTTTTCTCAACTATTGAAATATTCACAAAGCCATATGGATGGAGTTACTATTAGACTGGACTCTGGAGACTGAAAGTTTAATAATGTGTCCCAAATCAAATTCCCAATTGCTCGCACATTAAGTTGTCCGTGGCACCGTGCATCAACTAATTATGAATTGGCTAACTAAAGGATTATTTCAGGCAAAAATGAAAATTCTGTAATTATTGTCACTCTCAATTATTGTGATTCTGTAAAACACAAAGAGATATTTTGTTGAATGTCCAAGTTGCTGTTTTTCCATATATTTAAAATGCATAAATATCCAAAAATTAGTCAAAAAAGTAGACCATACAGCTTATGCACTATATTAAGTCTTCTTAAAGGGATAGTTCACCCAAAAATGAAAATCATCCCATAATTTACTCACCCTCAAGCCATTTGTGTGACTTTCTTCTTTCAGCCAAACACAATTGGGAGTTTTATATATATATATATATATATAGGGTACCTTTAACTCATTTCAAAGTTTGGAAGAGCCAGGATATTTATATATGCAGTATGGCTCTTCCAAGCTTTGAAATTAGATAAAGGTACCCTATATTATTTATGAAGCACAAAAAGTGCATCCATCCATCATAAAAGTAATCAAAACAACTCAAGAGTGGATAATAAAGGCATTCTGGACCAAAGCAATTTGTTCTTGCAAGAAAGATATCCATATTTAGAACTTTATAAACTATAATCAGTGGCTTCCGGTTTGACCCAACGCATGACGTAAACATGAAAAAAGAAAGTCATATACACCTAGGCTGGCTTGAGTGGAGTAAATTATGAGGTAATCAACGCATTCTCATCCTAGGGCGTCATCTAACTGACACTTTTGACCATGTGTCAACATCCGACGCACATGGCACCCTTTAGCGTCAATATGAGACACTTCGGTTATGGGTAGGTTTAGGTCTGGGGGTAGGGTTAGGGGTTAGACCAGTAGGAGGTGGTCTCACACGCTGAGCGCACACGCCGGAAACACGCTCATAAAGCCGCTGCTCATCACGTACTGAAATTAGTTATTTTTGCCAGATTGGTCAAATACTCACACTTATGTGGTAAAATGGTCATATTTGCGAGTATCTTCGTAAACATAGAAATTATGTTTAGTCTGTAAGACATAAAAATTATGTCTTAAGTTAACATAAACAATTGAGAAAGAAAATGCATAATAATTAGACTCGTATTGTGATTTTAGATTTGTCATATCGCCCAGCCCTAGAATTGAACTAGATTTTAGCGTCAATATGAGACGCTTCGGTTATGGGTAGGTTTAGGTCTGGGGTAGGGTTAGGGTTAGACCACTAGGAGGCGCCTTCTGGCCCATATAAATCTGCGTCTCATATTGACGCTAAAGGGTGCCATGTACGCATGGTCAAAAGCGTCAGTTAGATGACGCCTTGGGATGAGAACGGGCTGAGATAATTTACATTTTGGGGGGAACAATCCCATTAAACCTGATTCAAT